CACTAACCCCATCATGAACCCCGAGCAGCCCCAAAACAAATGTGACGTCTGGGCCCTTCAGGGACACCCGTTTATCCCCAAACCTGAAGCCAGCCACCCGAATGCTAATATAAGGTAAAGAAAACCACTGTGGCTCTGTGTGCAGCAGATGGGGAATCAATTGGCACAACCTGCAGTAGCTTCCCCGTGGCTTTTACGATGATAACCTGGCTGCAAACTTTCCAACTTGAAGGACAAGGTGGCACGTTTGAGGTAGACCTCCTTTTATGGGCTTCTTACGGATGTGGTGCTTGATTATGCAGCTCCTGAAACACTTTAATGACGAGGRAAGTCTCTAGTGCATTTATATCCCAGCAATACAGTCCTAAGGCACGTAAATCCACAAGGATTTGGGCCTGGAAGATTGTCCGGGATGTGTAAGRGATTGCAACCCGAATCCCAGCACAAGTGAACTGCTCATCCTCCGAACATCTCTGAGTTGCCCCATCCTCTTCCTTTTCTACCAAAACCTAGAGACATCCGCTAGGGAAGGTCAGTCCTGGGAGCGGAGCATTCGGTGAGTTTATTGGAGCATCTGGCTGTGTCTTTTCTCAATTGCAGGACGATTAGGGGCATCTGGTTTGCTCTGCGAGTTAGCTGGAGTAAACGTGCTTAAGCACCGTCAAATAACACCAAGGAAAGGGCAGTGTGTCTGGGGTTCCTTCCATCCTTGGCCATTTGCCATTTCTAAAATGGACCAGGGTTAGTCAGKGCTTGGGCTCTGCCTTTAGCCCTATTTCTGCTCCTCTTGCTGATGGTTGGAGCAGTTTTCTCCCTTTTCTCCTGCTGGACACCTCTTAGGTGACTATGTATTTCCATACACAAGGCATTTTGCTTTGAAACTGAAGCGTAGCTCTCCAAGGCTAGCAAGTTTTGAGGGATGGATTCAGACAGAAATAGTCCTTTTTTTTTTTCTTTCTCTCTCTCTAAATTATAGGTTTAAAATTACCCTAACATTATACAACAGTTGGGCACTTCTCCAGCAAAAGCCGATTGGAACCTTTTCCCCTGACAAGCTAATTGCCCAATGAAAACAGGATTTGGGGAAACATAAACTGACATGAAGCTACTCCATTTTGCTATAAATTATAAGGACTCGGCGCTGCAGCGAAATTGCCTTGAGTGATGTGAGCGTGGAAGAATGCAGGGAAGGACTTCCCCCCGCACGCACACGCGCCGGGAGCTTTCCGAGCATCCAAACAAATCCAGGCTTAGACAAAACTTTCCACTGGCTTCAGCCGCCCGCCTGCTTTTCCTCCTTGGAGCTGCACAGGCCGCTGTCAAAATCTTTCCAAGGGGCTTAACCCCGAGTTTCACTTGGAGCTGCTTGTAAGATGTTTTCTTCTGCGACCATYCCCTCTTCCATATTTGTTTTGTTTACTCCAAGGCTGCTTTGAAGGCAATCAAGGGCAGGACTGAAATGCTTTTAAGTCTGCCCCCAAAAAAGAAGGATTTGTTTATGTAAAGGGTAATTATCCAGTGGAACTCGCTGTTGCGAGACATCAGTGAGGTTATTAGTATCCCATAAATGACTTGGGATGGACATTTATACATAGGTGGACAGATGTATATGGAGCTGGGAGAACTCCACTGTTCAAGGGAAGTGACAAAACCCTAAGTTTTCCCATGGATTTCTTTGTTTGGCTCAGTTTGCCTACCTCCTTTTTATACTACTAGGCTGAAAAGAGTTATATGATCCTGTGTGCAAGGCAGTAAAAGCTGGATGCTGGTCGGGGAGCCTGTCTGGCCGGTCAAATTGAACTGTCAAGAGCTGACGGCGGATGAATGGAGTTCCCTTGGAGAGGCACCAGAAGACCAACAACCAGAAGTTCGAGTTTTAATGAATGCCAGCCAGGCAAGGCAGAACATGCACAAAGTACAGGGCTTGTGTCTTGAAGCAGAGGAGTGGGGTGCTGGAGGGGCTCAGACGAGGAGGAGGAGGAGGAGGAAGGACACACCTGAAGGCCCTGGGGAGCCTTTTGGGAATGGTTATTCAGGGTGCCTTGTGTGTGGTCACTGCACACACTGGCAGCTCTCAGGTGTTGTGTCCCAGGAAGTGGATCGTAGGCTGGTGTAAGCGTGCAAGAAAACAAAATGTCTTAAATAACAAGAAGAAGGGATTTTAAGAAGAGATATATTGTCTAAGCAGCCCGAGTGCTCCAGATTACAAACGAGTTAAGTTTTGTGCTCCAGTTCCTCCTCTGGAGSCAGGGCATATGTGAAGCCAGGAGGACACTGTCACTGGGGATGGATTTTCTTCAATCCTTCATCTCCCCAGCATCTTTGCTCCTCMCCTAGGATGGTCTCCTTGCACTCTGTGGCTGGGCCAGCAGGTGTATTTTATTGCTGTGTTTTTGAACCCTACTTTCCCCAGAGTGATTTGCTGGTCATGAGGCTGGTACTGATCTCAGTTGAGCTCCAAATCCATCCATCTTCTCCATGAGGCTCAGACATGACACATGTGAATTAACCTCTACCCAGTGAGCTATTAGGCGGTATATTTCCATTAAAAAAAAAGATGTTTATTGATACTTTGGTGATACTTTCTGTATCTTCAGGGTGTTTCTGCAGTTGCAGAGCTCTGTACAGAAGCAGCTGGGGGACACATGCCCAGTGCTCCCTGTCCTTGCAGCCACCCAGCCCAGGCTGTGACCAGGTTGTGTTGTCTCCTGTCCAGGAGAATTGCTTGAAGGAGTGGGGAGCAGGACAGCTGGAGCCCTGCTTCCTCCCGCTGGATAGGGAGTGGAGCGGGGCTCCCTTTCCCTCTCTCGCGTTACAGCTCTCCTTTCAAGCTGCTGCCCTGTCAGGTTACCACCCTGCAGTGCCTTGTTAAAWATTGATGTTGTGCCTTCCTTCCTTGTCACGGCTCCGGTGCCTAAGAACCCCCATGTGCAGCAAACGGGAGCAGAGCACGGCCCCATCGCTGCGTGTCCTCAAAAAGCAGCTCAGAGAAAGGCTGGCAAAACCTTGCAGCTCGTGGTGTTGCGTGTGGCAGCCTGTAATGGGTCAGGGTGGAGGGGCTTGCTTGTCTGCTGGTGGCAAAGGAAGGATTTGGGATGCACATCTGCTTTCCTTAGCGGATTTGGGATCCACATCTGCTTTCCTTAGCAGATTCAGATGCACATTTGCTTTCTTAAGGAGTTTCGGGATGCACATCTGCCTTCCTTAGCAGATTTGGGATGCATATCTGCCTTCCTTAGCAGAATCAGGATGCACATCTGCCTTCCTTAGGAGATTTGGGATGCATATCTGCCTTCCGTAGCAGAATCAGGATGCACATCCGCCTTCCTTAGGAGATTCGGGGTGCACATCTGCTTTCCTTAGCATGCCAGCAGGCGCCTCAGCCCCATGAGAGCAGCACCTGAGGATGTCTGCCCATGCAGCAGTCGATGCTGGAGCCGTATCCAGAAAGCAGGACCTGACAAATACCCTGTTGTACAAAATGCAGCAGCACCAATGTTGGGAAAAACAACTTCAAACCCTCTCTCCATAGCTCTGCTAGCTGTGTCACTGCTGCCAATAGCAGCTTGCCTCTAGAACCTGCCCCATAGCCCAGTTTTCCAGGGCTCAGTGGAGACGCTGGATACGGCTCCGGTGCCCCAGCCTCCTGGCTGGGATCTGGGCCTGTCCCTAGGGAAGCAGCCGACTATCAGCATCACTCCATGTTTAGGGGCTTGTTTGGGTCTCACAGCTTGGGTCTTGCAGACCCTTCATAGAGAACCTGTCTCCAGTGCAGTCACGCTGGCTGATCGCAGTGCAGAGACAATTTGGGTGGTGTTTTCTTCTTTTTTTGGCTGCCCTTTGGAGAAATCCATTCAGCCTGATGGCATTTTGAAGTGGAAAAACAAAAGTATCTTAAGAGCCTGAGGTTTGAGATGTTGGCTAATACGCAGGAGGTGGAATTTCCACTGGAAAAACCCTGTGGATTTTGGCTCTGCGGAGCTGGTTGTCCGGAGCTGCTGTGCTGCCTCGTGCCCGCTAAGTACCAGCTAAAACCTTCCGGATGCTTTGGGCCGGATAGGTTCAAAATGTCTGTAGCTTGAGGCGGAGCTGAACACGAATCCTAAACGACTTGTGTTCATTTCCATTAGCAAAGCTCTCCTGCTTTTATTAGCTGCCTATTTCCCAAGTGCTTTGGGTGACTTTAATGATACGATTGAGGAAAGCCGTGAGGCCGAGTGTTGTGAGCCCAGTGTATGTGGGCACAAGAAGTGTTGCAGCAGCCACACAGTCTGATAGAGCTACAGGCAGAAAGAAGTTGTAGTGTTTTGTGGTAGGTGTCGACTGAACCTTTGGAAAAGAGAGGGAAAATTTGGTAAAAGAAACGTGGGAAGTTCAGGAAAGCCAAGAAAGAATGAGGCCGGATTCCATCCTCTCCTGGATCCGGCCGCTGATGTGCTCCAAGCTGAAGGAACTTGCTGACATTGGTCGTCTGGCCTGGATTACAGAGCGTGCTCAGCGCCTGGCTCCAGCCCGACCTGCTCCAACCTGCCTGGGCATCAGTTGTGCCGTGGCCAAGCTGGCAGGAAAGGCAAAGGGCCGCCTGGCAYCTCCTGTGCTTTGGTCAGCACGGCTCCCCGGGGAGGCTGGAGCTCCACTTTCAGCACAACACTGTTCAGTTCAGCTCCCCTTGCCCGTGGGATGTTGGGCACTTGCTTTTGGAGTTTCCTTTCCCCAAGTGGGACATTCAGACTACAGCATCCCGGGAGCCTGCCCGGGAGCCCATGCTCTTGTCCCTCCTGCCAAGGCTTCTGCACTGGGAAAGGAGAGCGGTGACTCATAGGAAGGAGCAGGGAACCGCAGCATTTCCTCTGTTTTCCATCTGGAGGTGGCCATTACTTGAGTCCCGCTGGGAGGGTGACTGCAGGGCTGCTCGTAGCCAGCTCATGTCTATGATGTGAAACGCTGGGGGGTGAAAACCTAATGCAACCCCCCCCGACCAGACTTGTACCCCCTTGCAGAGACGCCCTCGATGCTGCCGCCGTGCTGTATAATCAAGTGGATGAGGGCGTTCACCGCCTGGTGATGTTGTCCAACAGACGCATCCAGGAGCTGGAGCTGGTGATGGAGTTCGAGAAAGTAGAAGAGTGTTTCAAGGAGGTAAGGCCTGTTCGGCAGCTCCTGCTGCCACCGTCTGACCATGCGGCTCGCAGCAGCTCCTGGGGCTGCTCATCCGTCCTGTGAAGGCTTTCCTTGGAGCACGGGACCTGTAGACATTCAGAAAGAAGACCCAAACAACCAGACTTAGGAATTGGAGATAGTTTTTGAGATGTTTGGAGGACCAAGTCAGTGTTTGCCCGGTATCTCCCGAGCCCAGGTAAAAATCTTTACCCATCTGCTGCTCTCTAGGTGTGGCTCGGTGAAACCCCACACGTGTCTGTGCGGTTTCTCCCGACTCAGAAACCACAGCTTGGGTAGACAACACAGCTGGCGGTGGGATGTCTTCTCACAGTGCTCAGAAAAACCCACTATCCCACTGGGCATATTGAGAGCCTGTTCTTCAGGCTCCACTTTGAAGCAGCAGTGATGGCAACAAGCTGCTGCTGAGGCCCTGTGTCCTCTGGCCTGTAGATCCTGGATGTGCTTTGCCCCAGTCCTGCTGCTGAATGAGCTGTATATCACATATCTCCCACACTAGCACCCTGTGTGCTGCTCGGGGCCTTGGCATGTAACGTGCCCCACACACACTCCGTTGGCCTCTGTCTCAGTCTCCAAGCAGAAGCCCAACATGTTGTCCTTAGACCCAGAGCCACGCTGAGCCCCCTTCCTGAGGGGTTTACGCTTCTCTTCCCTGTGGTCAGCATAACTCTTCACATCCATGGAAGAACCGACACCAACAGGCACTGCTTTCCAGAAGGACTTTGGAAGCCTTTAGCCGTGTGGACAGCAAACTCTACAGAGTAGCCCAGGCTCTCTGAGCATCCTGCAAGATCTAATCAATCCTCCAAGGGTTGTGGTTTCCAGATAAGCTCCCTAAGCCTGGATTTTACCTCCAGATTATGGAGTCCCATGTCTGACTCCCATGGAAAATCTCCTTTGCCGTAACTCATCAGCGATGAGCAGCTTTATGCAGCACTTAGGGCTTTGTGCATATGGATCTGTATCATTCAGCTTGTATGCTGCACGGAGCTTTCCCTAAGAACCTATATCCTTATCACTCCAGAACTAGTTCCTTCACTGCTGCTGAGCTGTCCTTCCCACCCTCCTGTGTCCAATTTGCTCTGAGGACATTGTCATTAATGATTTGCCTGCTTGTGGTTGACAATATGGACTTACAACTATAGCAGGGCCTGGGCTGTGACATAGAGCTGCACGGGGAGCTGCCTCCAGAAAACCCCTATCTAAGAGCCCTAAAGAAGCATGAAACATTGCATCCATGAGTAAGTTACATTATTCAGCTCATGGCCTTCAGGAATGGGAAGGATGCTGGCCGCGGGGAGGTCGAGATCCCATTTTGGGGGAGCAATAAGAGGAATAACAGGCTAGCCCAGGAGTCTCAGGGCTTCCATTAGACCACAACTCACCCAAACCAGCACCCGAGCAACTGCTTGCCTTGTTACTGCCTGAGGCTGGGTGAGCAATAGGGGCGTTCAGCAGTAACCTGAAATGGGAAAAGACCAAAGAGGAGGTTAGTGAAATGCCAAGATGGGAGAAGTGGATAGACACATTCTTTCCAGCAATAAAATGACCAACCTCACGAGAGCAGTTCCCTGTTCTTTCCACTCAAAAGAAAGTATYGCAGAGTGACTAATAGTGGAGCTTTTTCCCTTCTCTTCTAGGTCAGCAGTTGGATTGAGAACGTTGGCAGAAAAGGACTGAAGGAAATGATCAACCTGGATGATTCTTTGGAAATGCTGCTTCAAACACAAAAGCAGTTCAGAGAATTTGATCTTGTTGCCAGTGTAAGTGTTGTCTGGTTAGAAAAGTGAGCTCTCTTGCCAGCTCTCCTCCTTTTGTAGGCAAAGCCCCCAGCTCCCTCCCACTGGAGGGCATTTGCCAGTTTGGAGAAAAACAGCTACTGTGATGGAAGCTTTATTTTATTTATTTATTTTTTAATCTGCTGAGGTGCTTGAAGCTTCCTTGTTTTGATCCTAATTAATTAGTCTGTGACCTCAAAAGGGCCACAGACTTTTACAAGCTCCTCTGTGGCTCATATGTGTCATATGAGATATGAAGACTCTTCAGGATTCTGTTGCAACAAGTACATCCCACCCACCAGATTTGAACCTCAGGCCCCTAATTAGCCTCAGCTATTAATGGCTTTGAAGACTACCCACCATAGTGGATAGTTCCCATGTGTAGTATCCGTGTGCTCTCCSTGTCCTCACACGTAGTTGCGTTTTGTTCTCAGGAGTACTGCAAAAGGGGACAGGAAGCCCTGAAGAAGATGGACCGATGGGAAGACTTCTCCTCTGTGGACGTGCACCCGCACAAAGTGAAGCTGCAGGCCTACAGAGAGCAGCTGGAGGAGTTCTGCACTCAGCTGGATGAGAGCAGGCACCGGCTCTGCGAGACGGTCAGGCTCTATGAATTCTTTGACAAGGTGAGAGGAGGCATCTGCTGCAGGGATGGSGGGCGAGGAGGCTGCCTCGGCTCAGTCTAGAGCTTGGGGTTTGTMGAAGACGTGAGATGCAGCCTGTGCACGAGCGGGGAGCTGTATCTCTGATCTGGAAAAGCCCCTCTGAGCTTTCTGCAGTGCATTTCTTCTTCAAGTCAGTGTTTTGRAGAGAGGATGGGTATGTGTTCAAAAATGTCCATGTTACTAAGAATGGAGGTGGTCTCTTAGCTCAAGCTCTGGGTTGTGGACCATCGTGGCTACTGTATTGAGTAGAAGTGGGACGTTCAGTGTGATGCACGAGGAGCAGTGTCCTGCTCTTCGGTCCTAAATCCCGCCTCATCCCTCCTGTTTTGGAGGCCTGAGCAGGGATGTGGAACCCCAGGCCAGGGCGCTGGGGGTGCGACGGAGGCAGTGGGACCCAGGGAGGCAGCTGGGGAGCAGCAGGAGCAGATGACACACGTGGTGGCAGTGCTGAATTTCTGGCATTCCCACCTTTCTGCTCTGAGGGAGCAGACCGGTCGAGCAGGCCCGCAGCTGGACTTGGCGCCCTTCGATGTCCCAAGCTGCAGATGAATAAACAGGAGGGGTTTCTCAAGTGCATTTGAAAATAGAGCTTTGGCAGGCACGGAGCACCAGCGAGCCTCTGCTCCGCCTCTGCAGCACTTGTGCAAACACGGGGGATGGAAGTGCTCAAATTCCAGAAAGACTAAGACACTACAAGCTAAGCTGTACCAGATGTAAGTGCCGCTTAGCTGCTGTCTCTGAGCTGTCTTGGCAGCCCAAAGTGCTCCGGGGAGGGGGAGAAAATTCAGCGAAACATGAAAACATTCAGCAGCATCTTGTGTGAGGGAGGACGTGGAGCAGGCAGTCCAGAATGCGACTGTCAGGCCGTGCAAGGACTGAGGTGGCTTGGTGCTGCTCTGCACGTCTGCTCTAGCTCATCTTGGGAGCTTACCCTGTGCTTAGGGGACCCTCTGGCTGCARGAATGTGCCTGTTTTTTTCCCTGGGAAGAGCCGGGAGAACGGCAGCAACGCAGGAGTTTGGCTGCCCCGGCCACCACGTTGCAACAGCAGTCACCACGATAACTGTTCTGGTCCTGATAAGGACCTGATATCTGTATCAGGTCCTGATAAGGATCCTGGAAGCGCCGCTTTTTCCAYGGCCCTTCTGATAAACGGAGGCAGAGAAAGCCCCGGGCCTTGTCCAGAGCTGTTTGGAAACCTGTGGTTAAGCCCAGGAGCACTTCTGTAAGAAGCCACCTAGCAAAGGGGGGGCAGTGTGGGGCACAGGGCCAGGCTGCACAACCCCACGGCTGCTCTGCCCCCCGGGGACGTGTGAAAACCACACCGTGCTCACGCYGAGCTCTGAGGTTGCCACCACAGTCAGGCACTGCCCAACAGTAACTGCTCATTCCCAGGGGCACAGCTCTTACACAGACCCCCAAATTGCCCATATCCTTTTTGSGGGGACTTGGTGGCGTTTGGCTCATTCTTTTTTGGGGCCTGGCAATGAGGGGATCCCCTTAGGTTGCAGCTTTCATGCTGCGTAGCTTGGAGGAAAGCTCAGGGATGGAGACGAGGGGTCTGCACTGCTGTGGCTGGAGGAGAGAGGTGCCCTCGGAGGGAGGACACGTCTGATCCACCTGGTTTCAGCAGATCTATAAATACAACACGTGGGAATCGTGAACCAGCGACCAGCCGAAACCAGAGGTGTGGAGGGGATCCRTACTGTGCCCGTAGCACGAGGGCAGGAATTTGTGTCCTTCAGTGCTGAGCATTTTGATGTCTGTCTCCGGAGGGCTCCACGGTGCCTTCCCAAAGCAGGGAGGCTGGAGGCAAGCAGCTTTTTGCAGCATCCCCAGGAGTCTCTCCCTTTCACCCACCTGCTCTCTTAGGATCATGCTGCCAGAAAGACACCCGGTCTGATTCACTCTCTTGTTTCAGGGGTCCATTTTCAACTCTGATGCAGTTGGGGCAGTGAGCCTGGAGGTCGGGGAGCAGATCTCCTTACAGAGTTCGTGCAAGGTTAATGCCTGAAATCTCTCCCTTCTCTTTCCCACCAGGTTTTTGCTTAGAGAGGTCTTCTTACATGGCTCTGATATTGATTTTTCCCAGCAGAGGGTATTCGTATGTCAGGAAGTTTGTCTGCTTTGGAGTTTGAAGTAGGTCCTGACCAATTCAGCCTTCTACAGCTCCCCAGCTTGTCTTTGCAATGTATGATTGAGAAGCTCTTCATTTTGAGTAATTTCTCCCCAAATTCACTGCTAGGTCTACTGTTTCCAGGCTGTTTCCTCTTGGGTTGAACCAACAACTTTACCATCAAGTGGACATCTCAGGGGTGTCTCTGCCTCCCAGCAAGCTCAGCTCCCTTGGGAGAAATGTGGATTTCCAGTATCCACAGATCTGCCCCAGTGTCTGATGCTTCCTGCTGGTTGCCCAGCCTGGGGCCTGAGTTTGTCCCTCAGGGCTGTATGCAGCAGGGTATTAACTGTGCTTGCTCAGGTGACAAATCCCAGCAAAATTTACACTTGAAGGTGACAGATTTACACTTGAGGGTGACAGATTCTTCAGGTGACAGTGCTGCAGCACCTCAGCTCTCCTCCTCACACCACGCACTCGTGGCACATGCAGAAGGGCAAAGCCTCCATGTGTCACTTGGCCCTTGATCCAACTGCCTCTTGCTGCCCTGCCTGATCCCTGCCCCTTGCTGGAGAGCCATGACAGGTAGGAGAGGCTGGGACAGGTGACACGAAACCAGCCCGTTTTGTGGCCCAGGCTGCTCACCTGGCCGTGCTCCCCGTGCCCCCAGGAGCACCAGCAGGTCCCTGCGGGGAGGTGACGGTGTCACCGTCACAGCAGGCCCCCGAGGAGGACACGCTGCCCTTGAGCTGAGTGAGACCCTGGTGGATGTGACGTTCACCCGCCGAGTCCTGCGGGTCCGGCGCGTGGGAGCTGAACGTGTCCTTTGGAGCTTGTTCCTGGGGCTTGGGGACAAGAAGGCACCAGGCTCCCGCGCGCCGGTATCCATGCGGGACTCTCCTGCTCGCAGGGCTTCCCGGGCTGTGCGCGGGGCTGCGGCACAGATGGGGCTGCGAGGCACAATAGCCACCATCTGCATATCAAAGCCCTCGCCATATGGACAGGGGCTCGTCCCCCCATCCCGCCACCTCGGCGCCCCCCCAGCGAGGGCTGAGATCCTGCCAGTCTTCAGCAAAATGCCCTTAGACCGGGGGCTTGTTCCCCTGCCGGCCATGGGAGACCTTCTCGGAGGATTTCGGGACTCTGGTGCAGGTGGAAGCCCAAAGCAGGAGCAGCCCCTGGATGCCCCATTGCAGCAGTGGCCGGAGAGGCCGGCGCAGCAGCCTGAGCAGCTCTCGGTAGGCAAACTGTCCTTTGCTACTCCAGCTCCTCGCAGCTGGCMAATACTTCATTATTTCCCAGCTGTATTTCGTGTTCGTGCCCAGTGCAGCTGTCCCCTTGTTGGGGCTGCAAAACTCTCTTGTCGGGAGGAAAAACATGGAGAAAAATCAGCAAGGAGGAGAAAACCTTGGAAACACGGCCCGGGGGCAGCTGCTGGGGGTCTCTAGGTGCTGAGCACTGCTGGCTGCAGAGGGACAAAGCTCAGCCACTCACTGCCCAGCTTTCCAGGGAATCTTTATTTTTATATATATATAATGTTAGGTACGTTTTKATACACATGCGCATAGGATTTTGCTTGGTTTAACAAGCCAGATTTGGTTAAGCTGGTGTCGTTTCCTGGCTTAGCCCTGGGGATGCTCTGAGCTGTGACGGAGCAGGGATCATCGGGACGTGTTCGGATTGCTGAGCTCAGCCTGGGCCTGCCCTGCGCGGCTGCTGCGGGGCAGGGAGTGCTGAGCTCAGCACTGACCCCCCTCCCACCCTGTCCTTTCCTGCTCCTGTCCGTCCTCCTTTCTTAGCACCTCGATCCGAGCAGGTTGCAGTCTGTGCTTGTCAGGTTGCAGTCTGTGCTCGTCACCTCCTCCGCCCTGAAAATAGAGGGATCGCCTCCCTCTAAGCCTGAGCTGCCCCTTTGCTGAGCCCCGAGCCCGGCCAGGAGTCAGCAGGGGCCTCTGCTTTTAGGGAYATGGAAAGAAAAAGCCCTGCGAGGCCTGGAGAGCCTGTCTGCTGTGCTGGGTTTTTTTGCCATTTTGCYGGGATTTGGGCTTGCCTGGGCTGTTTTCTTCCCTGCACGACCCCGGGGGTCTGGCCTGCGCCCTTGGTGGGCTTTGTGGCACCCTTGGGCRGCCCTAGCTCCGTGCCCAGCCCCCTTCCCGCTCCGCTGAGGCTCCGGTTACCGGGGCGCTGCTGCTGCTTCGCCAGGGCAGCAGCTCGGGAATAGGCACACGGGAAGGGACAGGGAGGGACGGAGGTGACCCTGCCTCCTCCTGCTGCTGGGGACCGGCAGGACATGCACCCCCTCCGTGTCAAGGTAGGACGTGGCCTCTCCGTGTCGCTGCCTGCGGGTCTGGACGTCCCTGTCTCTTCCCCGCTGCCTTTTTCTTGCCTTTTTCTTGCCTTTTTCTTGCCTTTTTCTTGCCTTTTTCGTGCCTTTTTCGTGCCTTTTCTGTGCCAGGGGGTCGTTGCTGCTGCTGGGGGGCGGGAGGAGAGCAGTGCAGTGTCGCTCAGCCCGCGCTCGCAGCCGGTGCTGAGGCAGGACCTTGCTGCCGCTACCGTCCTGGCACTGCGGGCACCTCAGCCCTGCGTGCGCCCGCAGCACCGTTGCCTTCGCCGCTCTAATTAAGCGCTGCAGTAACGAAGGGCTGTAGGGATCTAAAGCCGAGGGGCGGGCTGCTTCCTACCTTGACACGGTTGGGAAGAGGGAACTTCCCCGCATGCAGGTGCCTCCTGAGGTGCGTGAGTGGCTCCTCCAACCCTTTGAGTTGCCTACTGGCTTGCTGGGCCAGCTGCATGAGAGCAGGGGCCCTAGCTGCGGCCGTGCACCACCATGTGGGTGCCTGGCCCTTGGACAGGGCTGCAAAGAGCAGTTGTAGATGATACTGGTAAAAAAAAAGCCTTGGTGGCCACCTTAGCATGGTACCAAGCAAGCAGTGGGGTGCAGAGAGCTGCTTCCAGTGCATGGGACACAAAGCTGGGCTGTCACCCCCCTCTGATGGGCACGGCGGGGTGGAAGATGCCAAGAAATGCAGAGGGACAGATGTGCAGGGCCTGGCAGGACGAGTGCTGGAGATGCTGGAGATGATGTTGACCTCACGGCCATCCTGCACCTACAGTAGTCATAGACTGTTGAGTGACAGACCCAAGCAGACCTGTCTTAGGGGGTTCCTGCTCCATGAATCTGATTTTGACAAGTGTATTTTACTTGGGGTGAATGCAGAAGTTCCCAGGCCRGGTTTGTGACAACTGGACCACATGTGGTCCCCTCACCAGAGGGACAGCACAGCGTCGTATGTTCACCTCCTGGTTAGACCTTGTCACATCCCTGCTTGCTGGAGAAGGAGGTGGTCTTCATCCCCACCCCTCGGCCAGGCGTGGAAGGAGGAAGCGAGCAAGGACATCCTTGCTCTTGCCAGGGATGGCCCGCTGCCCTAGGGGAGCGAGTAATTAATTAGAGAGTCCTGCATTAATTCCCACCACTCTGAGGTGGGAAAAATCCCTGCTCCTGGCTATGCCTCCCAGGAGAAGACAAACATGTCCGCTCCTGGCAGGGGGCACCGGAGGCTGCGTGTCCCCAGCATGAAGGGGACACCAGAGGCTCCGTGTCCCCTGGAATCAGGGGGACACCAGAGGCTCCATGTCTCCCAGCATGAAGGGGACACCAGTGGCTCCATGTCCCCCAGCATGAAGGGGACACCAGTGGCTCCATGTCCCCCAGCATGAGGGGGACACTGGAGGCGGCGGCGCGGAGGTGGAGCCAGCGCAGCTGAAAGGCGCCGCACAAGGAGCCGTTTGTGCCGCTCGATTGTTTAGCCCCTTTGAGAGCAGCAGGGCCCCGCGCTCGCGGGGGACCCGCGCCCGCCGCACACTGCCCCTTTCTCCGGCTCACTGGCGGCCACCTTTTGTGCTCGTCCCYGCAGGCGTACGAGTGGGCCTTGGAAGGGATGCGCCACCTCGCCTGCATCAGCATGGAGGAGTGCGTGTCCCCCGAGCACTGCGGCGACGTGCTCAGGTCCCTGGAGAGCTACAAGGGGCAGCACCCGGGCATCGGCGACGGGCGCTTCCAGGAGATGAAGGAGCTGGCGCGCGAGCTGAAGAGCGAYGCGGGCCTCAAGCAGTGGAAATTCGCCTGGGCCAAGTGCCAAGAGACCAAGCTGGTTTTCGAGAAGAAGCTGGAGGCGGCGCTGCGAACGCGCAGGGCTCTGGCCCCGGAGCCGCAGGCCGCCGAGGGGCAGCCGCCCGGCCCGGCCGCCGGGCCGCCCCAGCGCAGGCACTCGGAGGGCACCGCGCCGGCGCCGCACTGGGACAGGGCATCCTGCTGTAACCGGCCCGGCCGCTCACCGGGCTGGGCGAAGCCGAAAGCGCCCTCGGCCTCCCTGAGCTGCCCGGGGGACGTCGGCGCCGGAGAGGAGTTTGCCCACGCGGGCAGAGGTCCCTTGGGCAGCGCGGCCTCCAAGGCTCCAAAGGCGCCCGAGGAGAAGCCGAACCTGGAGAGCATCTTGGAGAGCCTGGAAGGGAAACCGTCGCATGGCCCCGCTGCAGCCTCCTCGAGGAGGCCGCCGCCCAAGAGGCTGCTCCGCAAGGCCCAGAGCTTCGACCTCCCCTGCGGCGAGAGCCTGTGGTCGGGCTGCCAGCGGGCGCTGAGCGAGCCGGCCAGGTACGGCAACACGGGCGTCTTCATCAAGGGGCTCGAAGTGAGCAGCACGGAGCTGGTGGACAGGACGTTCGCGCTGCGGCAGCCGCCCAGCTGGGCCGCCGGCTGCCTTGCGGACACCGCGCGCGGCTGCGGCGCCGCCGAGGCCAGGAGCTGGGGCAGGTGAGTGGCCGCGGCGCTGGGGACGGGCTCTCCGTGCAGCAGCAGGTGCCAAGCGCTGGCCCCAGGCAGTGGGGGGACACACGGGGGTCCTGGCAGGCAGGTGGCACAGGAGGGCAGGAGCAAAGTGCAGCCGTGGGGATAGGGGGACACTTGTGACAGCTGTCACAGAGACCTCAGGTAAGCCAGGAGGTTTCCCCTCGGAGGCTGGGATCTGCATTCCCATGATCAAGCACTTGCATTTGTCCTGTTCTTTCGCTGTCTTTGAGGATCTCACCTTGYTTTGGTGTGGCACTGCAGCGTGCCTGGCTATGGAGGGGCCGGGAGTCTCGGCTCTTCTCAAAAAGGGGGGGGGTCCCCAAGCAGATTTTTCAGCTGCTATCATTGAAAAAGACTTTTTTCCCCTGCAAGCAGTTGCCATCCCCTGTGAATGTGAGGTGGGTGTGAGAAAAGACCAAGACCAAAATCCCAGAGGTGTCTGATGGCCCCAGCAGAGACTGCCTTGTTCCTCAAGGGAGTGACCCAGCAGCCCTCCCTCTCCTGCCTTCTGGGGCAGTCCCACCTTTGGGGCCGCTGGATGGCCGGAGAGATTGGCCTGGGGAGAGCCGAGAGGCAAGGGAGGCAGGCACACATCTGGAGGGGCTGTTCACTGCCCTCCAGTCGTGCACTGGAAGCCTCTGAGCTCTCCAGACCTTCCAGAGAAGCCCAAAGCATCCTGGGCTTCTGATGAAGTCATGCGAGGTTTCCTTCCTTCTCTGTCTTCTACCTGGCCAAGGCCTGGCAGGGAGCATGGGATGAACGGGCTCCAGAGACCAGGACCAGCCTGGGATTTGAGCCTTGAGATGCTCCCCAGCTCCTTGGGGATCCTTGAAATGCTCCCCAGCCACAAGATGGCCAATGCTGAGGGTCATAGTCCTCCCAGAAAGTTGTGAATCAGGAGTTAGCTAGATTGGAGGGTGCCTGAGGATCATCTCTAGGTTGGCTTCCAGGGCACCTTCTCTGGCTTTGGTCGGGCGACTCAGCTGTCCGCAGCGTAGCCTTGATGGGGGCCTCTTGAGCACCGAGTGTCTCCTCCTGCAGCAAACTGCGGCACATCCTTGACGAGATGGTGACCACGGAGCGCGAGTACGTGAGGTCGCTCTGCTACATCATCGACAGCTACTTCCCTGAGATGGAGCGGCCGGACCTGCCGCAGGACCTGCGCGGCAAGCGCAGCGTCATCTTCGGCAACGTGGAGAAGCTCTACGACTTCCACAGCCAGTACTTCCTGCGGGAGCTGGAGAGCTGCTGCAACCACCCGCTGCGGGTCAGCCACTGCTTCCTGCGCCACGTAAGGCACCCGGGGCTCTCCTGTGCACTGGCGGGCCCTGCTCCTCTGCCGGGGGGTTGAGCTCCAGAGGGGGAATGGGTTCCCTCCACAGTGTCCACTTTCCTGCTATCAGTGGGAGGATCCCAGTGGGAAGAGCCAAGATCACTGGGCACATTCCCAGCTCTGACGCTAGGTCCGTGCCCGCTCTCCACAGCTGAGTTGAGCGCTGAGCGTCACAGGTTGGAGTCGAGCCCAAGCCTTGCTCTCCACATTGGCCTGGGATGCCCAGGCAAAGCTGAGCCCAGGCAGCAGCAGAAGCTCTTTGCCTTTCCCGATGTTCTTTGCTACCAAGAGATGCTGTCGGAACAGCAAAACCTCTGAACCTTAAGGTTATTTTGCGAGGGGGTATGTGAGGGGCAAGGGGGAACAGAAAAATGAAATTGGGAATCGATTAAAAAAATCACAGCTACCAAAGGAGCAGGACGAGTGTCCCCTGGCCCCTGGTGATCCCTGCAGCTTGAAGCAGAGTCTTTTCTGATACCCTGTAAGAGGTTCTGGTGTGGCCTGGGGAAGCAGAAGACCTGGAGTAACCAACCCAAGGGCACAGCTCTCCATGTGTGAGGGTCCTGGACAGCTTGGCCTCACAGGGCACCTTTCTTCTTGCAGAAGGACCAGTTTGGGATGTACGCCTTGTATAGCAAGAACAAGCCCAAGTCGGACTCGCTGCTGGCCAGCCATGGGAATACCTTCTTCAAGGTAAAACCCGCTGCCCACGGCCTGGTGTGCCCTTGGTGTGCGGGTCGCTGGTGTCTTTAAATGAGCCCCGCTGTCCTGTTCAAGATACGCTTGAACATATCAAGATTAGCTCTGCTTTCCTGGCACAGCTCTCTGCACCCACCAGAAAAGAGCAACCTTGCTCTTAGTCCCTTTCTGCTCCCTATAGACTGAACCAGGGGTCCCCATGACTGAACCACCACCCCTGCGTAGTGGGTGCAGGGCTCTCCCTTGGAAGCTGCCGCCCTTACTCCTCCCTGCGCTTCTTAGTTCAAGCAGGTGCAGCTCGGGGACAAGATGGACCTGGCCTCCTACCTGCTGAAGCCCATCCAGCGCATGAGCAAGTACGCGCTGCTGCTGAAGGACCTCATCAAGGAGTGCGGCGAGGCGCAGGAGGAGCTGGGCTACCTCCGCGCTGCCGAGGAGATGGTCAAGTTCCAGCTCAGGCACGGCAACGACCTGCTGGCCATGGACGCCATCCGTGACTGCGATGTACGTTGCCTCTTCTCCGTGCTGTTCTTCTCCCCCGGCCCTCAGCTTAAGGGCTTTAATCCTAGGGGAAGCTTTGCCTCGATTTCCCAGGGATCCCAGGGTGCAGCAGCACTACCTGGATAGAGGGTTGAGGGGCCAGCAGGACTTGCCAGTCCTGCTAACCCCCTAGGAACGGCAGCCTGGCTGCTCTTGCTTGAGCCAGGAGAGCCTGGCCCAAACCCTCTCCCAGGGGCTCACAGGTGGCTGGAGGCAGTGTAGATGCCAGTACAGACATGGACCTGCAGGCTGCCCTGGGCCCTTCTGTCTCCTCAGTGGGAAGCGGGTGACAGATGGCTGGGCAGGTTGCAGGAGGGAACTCAAGGTCACGCTCATACGGGGCCAGGTGCAAATCAGCCAGGTGGGATTTGAAGGCTGGAAACACAAATTGAGCACAGGATGAGGAGCACCAAACAAAACATCCATGTATCGCAGAGCTCAGGCTTGAGGCAGGTGGATCTGGAGCAAGGACAAGTGTGGGCCTTGCTGAGCCAGCAGAGCCTGGGGCTGTACCTGTGCCCCAGGGTGCTGCAGGCCCTGCAGCCTGGCAGGGCTCCGGGCCCCTTGTCCCTCGAGGGCCGGGCTGCTGCTTCCCCGAGTTGGTCCCATGTTACCAGGACGGTCTGTGTGTGCAGGTGAACCTGAAGGAGCAGGGCCAGCTGGTGCGGCAGGACGAATTCACCATCTGGCTGGGCCGCAAGAAGTGCCAGAGACACGTCTTCCTCTTCGAGGACCTCATCCTCTTCAGCAAGCCCAAGAAGATCGAGGGCGGCTTTGACGTGTACATCTACAAGCGCTCGTTCAAGGTGAGGGCTGCCCCGGGGCCGCGCGGCGGGGCGAGAAGGGAGCGCCCCGGGCACAGACACCTGGGCCGCCCCCCGCGCTGTGGGGCTGTGGTCTGAGGCCTGAGGAGCAGTGGGAAGAGGCAGGAGATGCGTGTCCAGGCAGTGGGAGCAGCTCTGGGTGCCCTGGCTGTGTCCCCTGCATTCAGACCACGTTCTCGACGCTCACACTCCTTCCCGCTGGGGCTCATGAAGTTTCTCCCCTGCACAGCCTGCACATGAGCTCACTCCGTGTCTTGTGCTTTGCTCCTTCTCTTCCTGGCAGACTGCGGACATCGGCCTCACGGAGAACTCCGGCGACAGCGGGCTGCGCTTCGAGATCTGGTTCCGAAGGCGGAAATCCAGCGACACCCACATCCTACAGGCCAGCACGGCCGAGACCAAGCAGGCCTGGACCAGCGACATTGCCAAGATCCTGTGGCAGCAGGCAGCCCGCAATAAAGGTGTGAGCCCTCCCCAGGGCGTCGGTGCTGCAGAAGGCGCGGGAGCCCCGCTCAGCTCGCGACGTCCACGTAGGTGTGGAGCCCGCGGCCAGGCGGCGCCGCGAGGCGAGCAGCCGTGGGCCGTGCATGCAGCTTCACGAGCATGTGCTGCCCACTGCCCCTTCCCTCCCTGCCCGCCTTCCCCCGAGACGGCGGGCGCGAGCTCTGCGCGGCCGTGGACCCTGCTTGGACTGCCTGCAAATCAGCGGAGGGAACCGGGAGCTTTCAGCCTAGGAGTCCCTGCCCTGTGAGAGTGAACGGTCCTCCTGAAGTGCTTGCTCTTTCCCCCGGTCTTGGCCACTAGAGTCACCCAGTGCTGGGTCAGCTTGGCTGAATCCTTGCTCTCCTGCCAAGGCTGCCTGTCCTCGCCTGGCCAGGACTCTCACGGATGGCACCAGGTCCCGTGGCCAGAGCGGGGCCTGACTCCTCCTCTGGGAACCCACCCCGGGGTTGGGGAATGGGGGCCATCAAATCTAATCTCAGTAGCTCAGGGCAGCCTGGCTCAGGAGTGCTGTGGCCTGGGGCAACCTCGCGAGGTGGTCGTGGATGTCTGCGTTACRCTGCCTTGCCCTTCCTTCCCTTGCAGAAATCCGCATGCAGGAGATGGTGTCCATGGGGGTGGGCAACAAGCCCTTCCTGGATATCAAGCCGAGCGAGGCCGCTATCAATGACCGCGCCATCGACTACATCATGAAGGGCAGAGGTGGGTGCTGCCGGCGGCGCCGCGTGAGCGAGGCGCCCGGGCGCTCAGCGCTGCTCTCCRCTCCCGCAGGCGCCAGGACCAGGGCCTCCATCGCGGTCTCTCTGTTCGACCATTCCAACCCCTACAAGAGGACGCCGGCGCAGCTCTCYGGGGGCAGCGCCCCCGCTGCCTACAGCCCTCCCTCCTCCTCCCTGCTGGCGCCCCTCAACCTGCACATGTACCTGGACCAGGCTCTGCTGCCGGCCGCCCTGGCCCCCGGCCGCCCCTTCGACTTCGGCACCTGCATCGAGGAGGACGAGCTGGAGCACGAGACCAGCAGCCAGCCCTCGCTGAGTACGTATGAGCCTCGGGCTCCTGCCCGGCGCCACCAGGCTGTCCCTGCACCTTGCTCCCTGCTGGGCCACCATCCGTGGGGCAGGCCTGGTGCCCAGGGCCTCCTGAGGATGCCGTGGCCTGGGAGGTGCAGCGGGCATTACTGTGCCCCTTGCCTTGCCCGGGCTGCTTGCCCAGCCCTGTCCTGCTGCCTGCTCCGTGTGCAGCTTCCTGCTCACCCCCCATATGCTCCCTTTGCATAATTTTGTCCCCTGTGGCTTTGAAGAGGCCCCAGCAGGAGCGTAGCTTGTGTGGCCAGCGCTCTGCAAACGGGTGCGTCCCCAAGCGTGGCACAAGTCGTGCAGGCCCAAGCCACACTCCCCAGAACRACCCTCCTTTCCTTCGCAGCCACAGAGAGCTCGGAATCGTCGCACTGCATGTCGGGCAGCGGCTCCAGCGGCTCCGACAGCGGCTGCGTCTCCAGCGTCCCCCAGGAGAGCCTCTGCGAGGACACGGGCTCCCCGCCCTCCACGCCGCGCGGCTCGCAGCGCAGCCCAGCCGCCGAGGGCAAGCCCAAGTTCASCAGCAGCCAGTTCATCTCTGCAGTAAGTGCGGGCGGCCGAAGGGCGCTCCTCRCTCTGCCCGTCACTGCTGCGGCCCCAGCTCGAGGCGCTGCCGCTCGCGGGGGAATCGAAGCCGCTGCGTTGGGGCTAGGAGGGACGGGGGGGAAGTGAGGGGTCCTGCCCCCGAGGAGACGCTGCAGAGGGGACCTGCAGAGGCAGCCCCGGACGCAGCAGCTCTGGGCCTGACCCGGCTGGGACGCACACTGAGCCCTCCGGGCACGAGTGAGTGGAGCCCTGGTGAGGATGCTGCCACGCTCCTGTCCTGGAGGCTCTGGGCCTTCCGTGGGGAGCGATGAGGCCGAGTGGCGGGGAGGAGCGCGAATGTGGCGCTCCGAGATGTCAGTGTTTCTCCTCTTTCCTTCCTGAGCCGTCCCTGCCACTTTGCCTCCTGCCAGAGCTGATGCTGTTGTCTTCTAACCCTGCACTAATGCTGGMTTTTCTCCTCTGCAGAAAGCAGGCCAGGTCTCCATAAGTCCCTCGACAATAGTGTGAGCCCCTCGGCGCACGTATTCCGCCGAAGGAAGTGGAGTCGTTGTAAGTAGCCCCTGCGAAGGGTTTTCCAGCAGCTCGCAGCGCTGCTCTGGTTCGTCAGCAGCTCTGAGTCAGGAGAATCCCCCCTTCTGCTCCTCCCTGAAACCTCCGTGGTGGCCAGGCCGGAGAGCCTCTGAGGCTCTGATTCATGTCATGGGAGAGAGCCACCTCCCGCAGCCAGAGCCCTCGCCTAAGCACAGCTCTGATCCTTGGTTTGAAGGAGCAGAAGCCAAACAAGCACCGCAGGTAGCGGAGGCTTGAGCTCAGCCTAGTCCGTGCGCACAGATGAGCGTCCTAGCCCTGAGTGCCACCCAGCTGGCTAACCACTAATCCRTCCCTTGTGGCTGTTCGTTGTCCCTCCTCGGGGAGGCCCTGGTGTTCTCCCAAAGTTGGATCTACCCCCGTTTCCTGGGGTCACCTGGGCCAGCTGCGGGTGGGTGTGAGATGGCCTCGGGTTCAGCACCACGGGGCAGCCACGAGATGGCAGCTCCATTGCAATCTGCCCGAGTTCCTGATAAGCCCAACAGCAGCCACGTTAGACTGTGGGAAGCAGAGGGGTGTCCCGAGCYGCCAGCTGCGGTGGCCCCGCGGGCGCTGTGCCAGCCCGGCGCCGCTCGCAGGGCAGCAGAGCCCTCGGTCCCCCAAAACATAGTCCCCCAAAACATAGGTCCAGCCAGTGCTGCCGCACAGAGGGAGCTGCGAGCCGCAGGGTCAGCCGTGTCTTGGGCTAACGCAAGTCTAACCCGAGTCTAACAAGTCTAACCCCTTGCGCCGTGCTGTGTTCCAGGTCTGGTGGCCACTGCAAGCTCCCCGACGAGCCCAGGCCTCTGAGCAGCAGGAGGAGACAGGCTTCAGCCATGAAGATACCTTTRTACCTAACCAGGCTCTTTCAGACAGTCCAAAAAACCCTGACCTCGGGCTTGGGTGACCCCAAAAAGGGTTTGGTTAATCTTTGCGTTGGATGGGACCTTGGGCGTTCAAAACTTGTTAGCCCTTTATTTATGAGTAGCAAATAACATAGCAGTTTGAAAAAATATATATATTATTTTTAAAGCTATATGCTGTACAGATTTTGTTACAAGTGACTCTGTTCCTATTTGTTCTGTAAGCTGCACATTTTATAAAGTTTATATCAGGAAGGGCCTGAAGAGAAGCCAAGGTATTTAAGAAAAGTAGCGTTAACTTTTTCTGTTTCAGGGCTGTATTTGACCTGGAGTTCAAGATTAACGTTCTTCCTTATGTCCTAGATGTGTCTATCATAGCAGTAATTTATTTTCTTGGCTTAACACTTCTGTTTTAATAAAAGCAAGTTCCTTGTTACAGCCAGTGGTTCCTTTCAGCTGATTCTTGTGCTGCCTCAGTGCTGAACCTCTCTTGCTCTCCACCACCTCTCAGCTCTTCCTGGCTCCTCCAGGCTGCACTAACCCCACTAAGCCATGTAGAACGTGAGCACAGGTGCCAGCAGAGAGGGGACAGAGGGCAGGGTGGCCGTAGGCAGAGATGTCCTCGTGCCAGAGCAGTGGAGATGGCCCTGGGAAGGAGGACCAGCCCCTGAGCATCACCCCGCAGTGCAGCTGCTCCGCTYGGCCTCAGGGCCACAGGCCTCCCCTCTGATGTGGAGGCTCCCGCAGAGGCGCCGTCGGGGTCAGTGCCGGGACACGGTCCCGCTGGCATCGCTCGCTCGAGCTTTAGGTGAGAACAGGGGTCGTCCCCATCCCGCCTTGCGGAGCAGGGGTGTTGGCTTATCGCCATGCTCAACCTTAACCGCACAGCGCTGCAGTAGCACGGATTAATCGGAGAACAGACGTACCCTGTGCTCCGACCTTCCCCGTTGGTGACAAGTGACATCCAAGCTTGCTCTTGGGCTGCGACATTCTTAGCATGCTTAGAAGAAACAAAGAGGKGCTTTTAAAATACCTGTATCAAGGTACTGGCTTGCTGCCGAGCTCGTGTTTGCTCCTGGTTTATGAGGGGCGAGAAACCTGTGTTCCCCGAGTGAGCGAGAAGTCCTGTCACCCGCAGCCTTAGCAGACAGAGCCCTAGTTTATCTGTAACTTCAGTTTCTCCCCGTATCGACTGCGGAGGCTTGATCCATCCTTCCTTCCTCCCCAGAGCATCACTGGGGTCTCAAATATAAAATAAAGCCCACGGCCTCCTGAGTTACCTCTGCCCAGACACTGCRATCCCTCCAGCTGGGCACGTTCAGCGCTTGTTGATGTTAATAAGCTGAACGTTACTTTTCACTCCTGTGCTTTTTTTAGACAGCAAACAGAGCACAGTTGACATCTTTGTACGAAATTGTGTGGGGAAAATTGCACAGGGAAGGCTTTTTTTTAGCAGTTACTATTTCAGATACTCGCTCAGTTAATGCAGGATTTGGGGCTGTCAAGACAGCAGCAGCTCATGTCACAAGAGGGAACGAATTTACCAAACCAACAAGGAACGTGACTCTTGCCCAGTTCCGCAGTGTCAAAAGGTTTCTGCAGTGCTGGAAAAACCTTGATTAATGTTTACCTGGCTGTTTTTTCAGGGTTTGATTGATTGGCCTAATAAAGGTTATTTTCTTTGTACGAAGCCTCTTTGCATTGTATGCTGACTGCTAATTTTAGCAGGGCCAAAAAAGACCAACAGCTCCGTTTGCAGATGAAGTGCTGCGGGTGTCCTGGCCAAACAGGGTGCCAGGACAGGGACAGCCCTTTGCCCGGGCACTGGGTGGGTGAGAATGGGGGTGTCTGAGGCACCCGAGAGCAGAGAGGGCTTCTCAACAGACCTAGAATTCCGTCCTGGAATTAAATGCCCTGTCTGGAAAGTGTTTGGGACAATGCACCCAAGCAGGAGGAGAGAGGATGGGGATGTCGGGTCTCCTGCTTTCTCTGACAAGCAGGGTCTTCTGGCAAAGACCCTTCCAGGGGAGAAGAGAGGCGGGAAAGAAGCCGTTCAAGGTTAAATGATGGCTGGGCTCATTTCCAAAAGCCTTTTTAGGCACCTGACAAAACMAAAATATTACAAAGAGGAACTGTATCAAATTTTTATTAGCGTTTCTGCAAACTTACATTTCCAASGCCAAGTAGGATACTGCTCTAGCAAAGCCTCTCCGTATCAGGACATCGATGCAGCGGCTGTACTTGCGTGCAAAGGGCAGGGTAAACTGCAGAGCACAGAAACGAGGCCCGTGTTACCCCCCAGCTCACAGACAGACTCTTTGCTCGCTGGTTCTTCACCAGCCCCCATTTCTGGGGGTCTGCAACCCCCCATCTTTGGGTGCAGAAAGCAAGCCCGTAAATGAGCTGCGCAATTTTGTGCTTCTGGTACGACGCTGCGTAACGTCAGTGATGGTGAGCTGTAAAACAACCCTTCTCCTCACTTCACTCAGGCTATAATCAAACCCTKCTTAAAAAATAAATACATGCTCAGCCGTGTTGCCTCCCCTGGTGGCCAGCAGCACTTACTTCCACCCACTTGAGCAGCGCCTCACAAACGCATCCATCTCCTTGAAAACATCCCGTGCTCAGCAAACTCGCCACGAAGTCCTTGGGGTTCATCTGCAGGGTCTGCAATAGGGAGCACACGCCTGGCGTGTCACCGAGGAGGTCCCCTAGGCCACGTCGTGTCCCCCCACCCCGTCCCAACCGCCTGAGCAGCCAGGCCCATGCGGGGAGCTCTGAACTTGTCCTACCCAGAGCCTCTTCACGAGCGTCATGACTTGGGCTGTGATTTCCTTGGGATCCTTCTGCTTTAGTGAGTCCAGGATAACCCCGGTCAGGAAACAGTGGCATTTCCTAGCGTAGAATATCTCGGCATGCGAGAGGGCAAAACTTAGAAAAACTGTATCTGCAAAGGACAGGGCAAGGAATTAAAAGTGTTTGAAAGATAAGTAGTTATTTCCAGCTAACGTTTCATTTCCCTAATCCTGCCTTTGACTCCTTTAATCTCTTTCCTAGCCCAGATTTTTAAAGCAATCAAATTCTACTCAGTTTTTAATCTGAGCTCTAAATGAGGGTTGGCTGCAGCAGCAATTGAACACGGATTTCAGAATATTCATTTGAGTTTTATTTTTTATGTCATTGTTTATAATGGGCATGTTACGTATATGTTGCATACACCCACAGCCAGCTACATATACAGGCCACACCGATTGATACCTCCTGCAGGGACAACAGGAGTGAGATAAAAGGAGGCACTGATCAGCCAACAGCAGCCTCTGGCCACATTATCAGCTGGATTCCCAGGGATTCGGATGTGGTCCCGTGAGGGAAGCAGCACCGTGTCCGGGAGGCTCTTCCCCCAGCAGAATATTTTCACCCAGGCTTTTAGTCTCTTTAGGCTACAGCTTGTAACAGCCGGGTCATTTAGAGTATGACTAATTAGAGGGGTTTTTATTTTCCCTCTCTCTATTCTGTTGGGATTTACGGACCCTACTTTGGTACAAATGGAAGGGCTCTGTCCCGCTTTGTGCTCGCCCAAGTCGGGGTGTGAGAGCGCAGGGTTTGGAACAGCCCAACAGAAACAACAGGTCTGCTGCGATAACTGTAAGCACTGAGCAACACCTGGCACAACGCGTGGCACAACGCGTGGCACAACGCGTGGCACAACGCGTGGCACAACGCCTGGCACAACGCCTGGCACAACGCCTGGCGCCGGACACGCCGGCCGTGTCACCGCCAGCTCCGTGGCCGTCCTGCGGCTCCCGGTCCCTGCTCACCTGGGGCCAGCGCGGGGCTGCGGGGCTGGCGCGGGCGGGAGCGGCGGCGCGGCGCGCTGTACACCAGGCTCTCCTCGCTGCACGTGCAGAGCCCGTCCCTGCCCATCACGGGCGGGTGCTCGACCCGGAGGATGAGGCCGGCGCTGCTCTGCTCTCCCCGAACAACGCGGCCTTGTGCATTGTCCGTTGTCTCTGCGAACACACAGCRGTTGGGTGGCACGGTAAGGGCTGCACCGACAGCAGCGGCATTAAAGCGTTTGCTCGGGTGCAAGTCCGACCTCTCTATCCATAATTTGTCTTTATTCTGCTGGGATGKTTGGTCAGAGAAGGCAAAGGGCAAATAGAGAGAAAATTACTCCTACAAACAGAGAGAAAACTTTAAAGCCAAAGATTTAYGACCTTAAATATAACGTGACTGGTCTTCTCTACTCCTCTCTTTCACAGGGGATGTTTAAAAAGAGCAACCATTAAGCATTGCTTAACCAAACCCAAGTACATTCAGTCTGGATTTTTTTCCAAAAGATAAGAATTTTATCCAACAAAATAATCATCTGGATCTCACTGCTGTAGTCACTAAAACATCCGCAATCTTTTTAAATACGTTTTGCTTGCCCCAAAATTAAATTCTGTGAAAACTTGCGCCGCTGCCCACTGTGGGAGCAGCGAAGTTGGGTCTTCGTTAACTGGGATGCTGCATTTTGTGCTATCCCCAGGTGTGACTAAACTATGTCCAGTGTTTCTGGTCACAACACCGTACCTCTGAGCAGCCAAAGATCTCAGACACAGGCAACTGTGCAGAGCAAATCACCTTTACTGCTCCTCACACAGCCACAGAGGCAGGGCACCAAGGAGATCATTAAAGAACAAGGTTATTAATGCAGGTCAATTAAGACGCTGCTCCACCTTTCTGCTAATTACCCTTGTGGTGGTCAGCTCTGCAYGGAGCAGCAATGAAAGCAGCCCTGCAGTCACGGTCGGGCCCCTGCTCAACAGCTGCCAATTAACTTACTGCTTTTCATGGGGATGAATTCCAGCGGCGAGTGCTGGTCCCCTACGGCACCCGGGAACCTTCCTACAAGCAGGAGGACAAGACCATGGTTGAGACTCTTGCTCTAAAATGCACAATCCAAGTATTTTACTTGTATAAGTGGTGCAGTTTGTGGCTGCTATCTCTTTTGCAGGCGACTGCCACAGAGCATCACCCACCTTGTGCTTGCTCCCAGTTTCTGCTCTCGGCAGCTCTCCCCATTGCAAGGGCAGYTTCTATGGCGTTGAACTGGTGTTTTCCAGAGAGTGGAGTAACTGGCAAGCTCTGCTTGAACACGTATGAGCACAGCTGCTGTTCTTCAGCCCCAGCTTTGTATCTAGCCATGTTGTTATTTTCTATTGCACAGCTTATTTTCCCAGCAGAAGCAGCAGGAGAGCCCTCCACACCACGGTGCTTCCCGGGAGYGTCATGCTGGGATACGTGGTCCGTGATATCCCCATCAGATACAGCCACGTGTTGGAAGTCACATCTCTCGGAGCTCATCATGTCCCACTCCTTTACCAGGGAAATCAGCTTCTGGATGGGAGTCGCGGAGTCTTTGCAATCGAATTTCTTTGCTAAACTGCTTTGGATCCCTCTCTTCCTTGGAGGGCTTCCCGAGTGCTTGTAATAGCCACAAGCCACCTGGATGTCGGAGGACTTGTGGCATCCTCCAAGTTTACTCCTCCGCTTCGCCCCTCGCGCCCGCGAAATCATTCTGCAATACCTGGCTCTCTCCTCACTGGCATCTTGCTTTGCCTTCGGATCCTTTATTTTACTCCACGTATTAATATAATGTTTATTGACATCCACAGCTGCATAGGAATATTCCTAAAAACACCATGAAATGCTGTTACTTTCTTTGTGTCACAGGAAGAACAAGGTTTGCTTTCCACGCCACTTTACGCTGACACCAATGACTAGAAAAGCAATCAGAGCACCCAGCTCTTAAGCTCTGGACTCTTGATTTTTGCAGCATGCACTAATTCAAYAAAAACCTCAAGGAAAGGCCAGCACACAGGGCAGTGCTCGAGCAGCCCTCCTGAAATCCCCTGTGGAAGTCTGACAGGATTGCTGAAGGAGAAGAGAGTGGGGTGGATCTCCTCCTAGGCCACCTGCAAGCTGCCTCATTACACAAGGAGCCCTCTTATGTTTTTGCAGCATTTAAACAGAGTTGCTGCTACTCCCTATTTTCATTTGAAGTCTGAAGATTTTTTTATTATTATTTTCAACTGAAGAGATTTCAAAAGTTCTTTTTTTTTTGCACTGATTTTGAAATTTTAAAAATCAAATTGAAAAAATGACTTTTTTGAAAACTGCCCAATTTGAATTTGACACATTTCTAGGCCAAATTGCTTTTAAAAACATTTTGTGGCAACACACCCTGACACCCACATCTTACTTCTTTCAAGTCTTTGCTGATCTGAGTCTCCTTATTCCAAGTCTCAATGCTTAATCCTCCACGTGGAGAAGAAGCTTCTTGGGGAAGTTCACGGGTTTTGATCCATAATCTAGAAATTGAATATTCACAAACGTTTTAGAACTGCTTGCAGGCACATCACCCAGCAGGCCTCACATTTCCAGTCACCGGTCTATGTGCATTTACGAGGAATTGGCTTTAAACTACTGGGGAAAGAAAGGAGTTCACAATTATCCCTAATGAGCAATGTAACGGTGGCAAAACATCAGTCTTTTTTATTGCCCATTTGCAATAAAAATTTGATTTAGATACACAGGAGATAAAAATGGCTTGTCCCCAAGATGCTCCATCACCCACAAATCCTCAACCCATGGATTCATTTAAGCCTCGTTGATCAACTCAAGTCCTGGGAGCTACTTTTCTACTTTTCTTTTTTTTTATTTATTTTTTTAATGAAGAACTTCTGGACGATTAAGGGAGAGAGCTATTCAGATTCAAGTCAGGCTCTACATTGTTATTATCACACATGGATTTTAAGGAGATGGATGCCACAGTTTTTGAAGGAGAGCTGCACAGTCCCCTGCTTAAGCAGCACTGGTCTTTGCAAAGACCAAGACATTGGTCTGTGCAAAAACATCTCATGATGGATCAACCTGTAAAAAGTTCTGCCTTATTTCCAAGGAGAACTTGTCTAAAATCACATACAATCTGAGCTCAGTCGTTCTGTGTGATACTTCATTCCCTATTTCCTGGTTGCTGCAGAACTGCTGTCTTACTCCTTGGTCCAAAGAGCTCACAGGGAAGAGCTATGGCCCAAAAGACAGGAATTGATCATCCTCCAGTGGCCATATTTCAGGAGGAAGAGAGCAAGTTGTGCTCCTTCCAAAGGACAAACACTGCTGGGCCAAATGGAAGGACATTATGCTATGGGAATGAAAATAAAAAGAGGGAACTGTCTCTACCTGTATGCGTCACAACGATAAAGTGCCTCTAAAAGGGAAGGGATCTGGTACTCCTCTGCTTCTTGACAAAATAGAGGCCATTCCCTGGAAGATGTCAATAAACTTAACTGTAAAATCAGTCAGTTCGACCTTCTCAGATTATACCTGCCAAATGCATGCTAATTTAGGAGTATTATGCAGTTGCTACATAAAATGAAAAATATATTCATGTAACTGGTTTTCCTTTCAACATAGGGAGCAACCGCCTAGCATCAACAAGAAACCAAAGCCCTTCTACCTGTTTCACACGTGACACCCAAATAATGACCAAAATAAATCTGCCATGGGTGACCAGAACCATTCCCAAACACRTTTAGTTTGCTTCTATGTATATAATTTTAGTTTCTGACATTCTTATCTGGCCTCCTATGTCTTTGATGACACAGGTGAGAACAACAGGGGTTAATATATCAAATAGCTCAGAAACCACTGGTGATTTTTTTCTATGGACTTTTGGAAAGAGAATGGAAATACATATTCTTTCTATAAACAGCTAAATGTGCCCAAAATCACCATAATAAAGTTTAGAGGCCTCAGAGACTGAAGCACCCACAGATGAGGAGTTCTCTCTCCTTTCAGGAGCCCTGTGTTCCTTCATTCCCTTACCCCTATTACTACCCCCTATTTTTATTTGGAAGATACATTTTTCAGCATCACTACAGAGATACCAGTAGAGGGGGCAGAGGGAGTGTTTTTCAGCTGCATTAAACTCACTGTCCCTGCCCCAGAATAAAAAAGATAAAAATCAGAAGATAGATGCAATAAAAATATCTTCAGTTGGGAAACTCTCATCTTTGGAAGTCTTTTTCCTTAAACATGTGCACATCTGTCTGTGACACGTTTCTCTGCAGTAAAAGGGCCCAGTATACCAATCATTACAATAAATGTATGCAATATCTTACAATAATCAAGTCCTCATCCTCCATAAGCCCAGCTTAGATAGCAAGGTTTAACACAGGACTGAAAATTCCTAATTCTTTTGGATGATATGTCAATGTAAATCAGAAAATACAGCCCCATGCTTTGCTTTTCTACAACTATCTAATATAAAAGAAAGAAACACATGAATTCATTCTGCTTACTTAAATTCAGATGGCAAAAATAACTTGCCAAGTCTTAGAAAGTTGAGAACGTGCCGAAACATCTGCCCATCACCATGGATGAGAAGGCTTTGACCATACGTGATCCAACAGACTTTCTTGTCATTTGACAGCAGCTCCGGGTACTACAGAAATAAAAACATATTTAGACCCTACAGAGAACATTTTCCAAGAACAGGAGGTCTTCTCCTSTCACATGAAAGCCGTTCTTCAACCTGTGGAATAACAAATGTAGAAGAGTAATTTTAGATGAGGGAATTAATTGTCTTACCTATGGGGGCCATTGTTTTTTATTTTAAGAAAAACTGCGAAACCTGTTGCAGATTAAGCACATTAATCGTACTAYGTGCTAAATTACTGTCCTGTTCATTGATATTTGTAGCTTCATGAATCCTCAATGCAGAAATCTGAAAAACTTCAAAACGACAATCCCCTATTACAAGACTTTTGGAGTCAGTATCCGTACTGCATTAGGTTGCTCACTAGGCTGCCCTGGGCTCTGCAGAGATTCCAGCTCTGGAATCACAATCCACGTCCACGCTGCATCGGAGCTGACAAGTTGTACGAACAAAACGAAGTCTGTGTCACTGCTCAGCAGTGAGTTACGTAGTGCTCACAGTGCCCTTTGAAAAGGGCACACAGACTGAGCTCTAGCTGCCTGCAAACCACAGCAAGGCACAGAAGGGCTCTTCTAACGGAGAAATTATGCAGTTTTCTCTGCTTGACACTGGTGACAAGACATCGCTGGCACAGCAGAAAGCTTTCAAGAAGCCAAGAGGCTGGGTAAAAAGTGGCTATTCTCAAGTGTGCCCTTTACTTCATGCTAATGTACAAAATACAGTTGGGATCCTCCTTGGCTAGAGGCAGTCTGAGAATCCTACTTGCAACTGAAACCTGTTATTTTTATTTTTTTTTAATAAAAAAACTCTTTTTAAAGAGTTTTATTTTTGTGCTCTGAGGCTMCATCTTTCCTACTGAATTTATCTACCTTGGGAAGTGATCTGTGGCTCACAAAGCGGTACAGAGAGTGCTCAGGAGCAGTTCCCTGTGGAGCAAATTGGCTCTGTCCACATCGCAGGACACCTGGACCTGGGTGTGATTGTCCTAAACACAGTTAAGTTGAAAAGAAACCCACACAAAATGACAAATATCATAACAGGAGGGACGGGCTGTCATTTAAAGTAGCCTTTTTTTTTTCAGAAAAATATGGAGCATGAGTTATATATCTTGGGTCCTGACTTAAGAAGGTTCCTGTTACAGCAATCCAAAGATCATTGATCACAATACCTTCAATAAAGTCTGTAAGTAGGTCTCGTACCAGTTGCTTCCAACATAAACTTTCACAATCTGATGCAATGAGCAGGCTGATACTTCTGCCGTCCAGTCTGCATCTAGAGCTGGAGTAACAAAGCAAAGGTCAGAACCAAACAATTCTAACAGGGCCAATTTTATGGYAGATAATAGTTAATAAGACACTGGATAATATAGAAGTTTTGGATACCTCTTAAGTCTGGATTAAGCCCACATCTTACCTTTGTAGAGAAGAGATGGAAAGTGTTTGGCAAAAGCACTGACAGTGTCGTTCACATTATTATTTACACTTAGCAATTCCTGTGATTCTGCTTTAGGAAAACTGGAATGGATATCCATCCAAAAAGGTTGTTTAAAAATTATTTTTAAAAAATTAATATAAGGAATTATGATTCTTACAACAGCTCAGGTCTTTACAGAAGATACCCATGAGTCACACTTAAAAAAATTAATTATAGGACAACAGATTATAAGAAGTAGATTCTCTAAACAAYGCACGGGTGTGTGCTTGGATCACATGCAGCTGCTCTAATGCACCTATTCACCTTCAGTAACACCTAAAATTGAGGCATCATTTCTTGTTAAAACATTTGAGCTGCAAAGCTATTTCTTCTAACATGTGTTATCCGACATACCACACGATAATGACTAATGAGAAGAAATTGCTGTTTCAAATTAATATCAAGTTCTCCTCCTTAAGGTTATAATTTCACCTAAGAATGGGTAAAATTCACTCTTTTCCATTTTCACGTTCTCTGCTTASCAGGGCAGGGGAGCACTTTGAACTTAACTTTGATAGCACGGATTTCCTTGATCGGCATCGGTCAGTTAACAAAGCCAAYGGGCGACAAGAGACCTCAGGAAAACAGACACTTTTCAACAGTGAAACCTTTGGTTTCCTTTGATACCATAATAATTCCTCAAAAGTAGGTCTAGATCATTTATTATTTATATTTATTTAATATTATTCATTCTATCCTGAATTAACTTACTATAATCTCTGCACTTTGCTGGCACCTGTCGCTTCAGAAAGCATTTTAAAGCATCTTTCATTGGCTCATATGTAATGTCCCTTTTGTCCAAATAAGCACAAAGTTCCTGGATTTCACACTTATTTTCAGTAAGAGGGAGTCGGCCAGTTCCCAACCAGTTCCTATCCAAAAACAGAGGACATCACTGAACTTTTTATTCCTTCTCTGACCATTTTCACCGTTTATTTTTAATGAAGAGATATCAATAAAAATGAATCCTTAATAAAAAGCTACCTCTACGACTCACATACTGTATTGTACTTAAAGCCTTTAAAAAAATAATGTCTTCATATATGTGGTTTGGAAAAATCAAAAGGTGTCTTCTGTCACTGCAAGGATGTCTGAACTTGTTGATATTTTCACTTATTTCAGAAAAGTGATTTTTTTTTAATGATTCCCTAGGGAGCCATTCTCTCATAAGATAGGAGATTTTATTAAACCAGTAGCTTGGCATGGTAGTAAGCCTGAGAAATAATGCTAAGAACAAGCTAAGAATAACTAAGCTGAAACCTGGTATTCAGATGTCTAAGTTCTTTGTGGCAGTTTAGTCAAGTGGAGTCAAAATCCTCATCTATTCTTTTTTATAATCCTCATCTATTCTTTTTTTATATACAAATGGTATCATTTTTATACCATTTCATTTTCGTAATGCAGATGAATGCTAACACTGACACACAAGTATATTAATCAAAGCCAAATTTGGTGACACAACTATTCCATAACTGACTTACGCCAAGAATAGGTGTATGGAATAAAAACCTAAGAACAGATTGGGGCACTGGGCGGCCAACTGTGCAGTCCAATACTTTGCAGTGCTTATATCTGGCTATTGAGCTGTGAAAAGGCACTCCCAGCAGGCACACAGGAAAGCAAACTCATCTCATGGTGAATTATGTGAYGGGGAGCCATACTTCACGTGCTGGAAGAGGACCCCGTTCCCAGAGATGTACAGCCGGTTTCTGTCTAAACTGCTGCTGACGGAGAGCTGCCCCAGGGCTGAGTCGGGGTATTTGACGAGCAGACCAAGGGCCAGGACGTAGAGCGGGGCTCGCGCGGGCGCCTCGGCCCCCGGCGCCCGCCTTTCGGAGCCCTCCACACCCCCTTCAAGGCTGGAGCAGCTGCCTGCACAAAAACAAATGCACGGATAAATTAAGACTTGAGAAAGAGTAATATTCATTGCAACACTTCCCTTTATTGCCATGTGTATGGAAATTAATTGATAAGACTACTTAGCTGAAAGCACCAACCGTACTAAGAACATTGCTGATTGAAGCACTGAGTCTCACAACCAAACTCACTATCAAACCAATCCATAATAATAAGAAAATATAATTTTGTTCATTATCTTACCCCTGTAGATTTTCACAGCATCTGTAAGCTTTGGGATTCCCAAAAGGGCAACTTCTTCTTCCAAAASATCTAGGCTGGAGAAATCATCGGGCAACAGCATCTCCTCCGAGCGAAGAAAATTCACTTGGAAATAAAAATGAAATACAGGCAGTGTGTGTTGATGGCATTCCCAACACTCAACTCGAGCAAAAAGGGATTCTTAGGATTTCTACCAGCATTACTATTCCCTAGTGCAKGCAACAGATAATAAATATATACAAGGAGTTTAATAAACATATACGAGGAGTTATTTTGTCTCTCGAGATGAAATCCTGAAAGCAGAGCTTTTTTGGGGTTCATCTTTTASAGGCATCCTGTTTTCTCTGCTGACACGACAGACTAGGCATCGACTTCCTCGCTCTGTTTTGGCCAGGTACCTGATTTTAGGTATTGGGACATGGATGTTGGAGGACTCTTGGTAGGGGTTTGTTTCTTGGTTCACTGGACAGTAAAATCAGCGACAGTAAAACCAAAACAAGATCCTGATCTTTGTATGGAAAATAGACAGAAATAGTTTAATACCAAAAATACTATTTAGACCTATGWAAATAAAACCAGCTTTTGAGAAACAGAAGTAGATTAAAAGCATTTGCTTCCAAAGCACAGTTTACCTATGAAGCGGAATTCGCTGCAGTTGCACTCGATCAGAGCTGCGTTCTCAAGGAGCCACAGCAAATTGTCATCATTAATTAGCACAGGATATTTCTCCACCAAATCCAGTGGCAAAAAGTAGTAATTCACTTCCTCTTCTGTATCGAGTAACGGTGTATCCATTAGCCCTAGGGGAGCTCTCTCCTGTAATCCTTGGGGGAGAAAATTAGGGAAAAAATATGTAAATAAAGAAGGATGCAACTCAAAGATACATTTTGGCGAGCTGAATCTACAACAGAAAAGCCTGTAATAATTCTTTGGAATATTTAACACTGATACTCTCTAAGCACCAACCCCAAGCAAACACATAAACAGACAACTGGAAACTGCGTGTAAATATAGAGCAATACATCAAAATCCTTTCAATTCTGCAACGACCAACATTTCTGAGTTGGTCTGAATGCAGGTGACCAACCTAGCGGTTACACACCAAAGATACAGAGGTGAAACAGGAATTCCCTGCACGAGCTCTACCCYGGGAAGGGAAGGTGGGACGTTTACCTGAGCAGGCTGGACTTTTGAGAGGGATCTCCGAGGGTTTGCTGATACATTTCCGTGTTCTCCAGTAGTTCAGAGATGCTCTTTCAGCTATGGGTATATCTGCGTGCCGGACACGTAAATTATGTTTCCCCTCCTTCAAATTTTCCAAGGTCTGGTAAGATGCATAAAGGTTTTCAATCAGCTATTTCAATTCAAAAAAAAATGAATCCAGGAACTAAAAGCACCCATAGGAAAATGTCTAATCCAGGTACGCAGTTCTTCACACCTACTTAAAAGTGGAATATTGTATACAGAGACAACAAGGCACCTCTTAACAGATCCCAGAGCACTTGGCTTTTACAGACGTTAACAACATCACACAAAACTATCTTGCTTCAAATGAATATTTGGCTCAATGATAACAATCCTAGATAGTCTCAATCCTAAATAGTCTACATTTGCTCATCTTTTACCAAATGATAATCAAACACTGATTGTTTAATGATAATTTTAATCTTTGAACAAATGGTTAATYATTATGGCAGGCTGCTATCCACAAAGTAGCTTTGGAGTCATGATTAGATTTAAAATACACGTGCAAGGTAAGTTTATCAACTGAAACGGCCGCACTGACAGACATTTAAAAGGCAGAAAATGCAAGAGTTTAAGGTCCTGGTCATACCAGAATAATCTGACAACTGCTAATAGACTCCTTGAGATTTTGTTGTGCTTCCTCTCCCTTTTCAAACTATTTAATGATGCAACATCTTTAATTACACTGCTAAGAAACAAAGGAATAACTAAAATAACATTTTGGCTAAATATGTCAAGCATTGCTGAGACAACTCCACAAAAAGTATTAGAAACACCCCAAAAACAGAGTTTAAATTACAACTAGAAAAAAATGCAGCCGCATAGGAAAATACACTTTAATCCATCCATAATACAATGTAATCCATCCAGGAAACACCAGCTCTTACCTTACACTTTAGTTACACCACAACATACTTACAGCCAAAGCGTAAACGAAGTAGTTTACTTAGAGATGTCCATTTAACTATTCCATTTGTGGTATCACAAAACAGGGGAGAAGGAACTGCTGTTTGCCACGCATGTAGTTTTACTACATGTTTCCATGTAGTAAAAATAAGCAGCAACTGCTGGAAGTCCTCTGGCAGATCACAAATCAACAAATTTCCACAAATTTGGAACATTTTCTGTGCTCACCAGTTGTTACAGATGAGTTGAATGTGGAAATTAATTGCCTGGCTACCTACTCCACATAATGAGGTTATATGCACAATCTCCTTGACATCCTTCTACAGCCAATATCATCGAGGAATGAACAAATTCTATAGGAAAATCATGCAGAATAACAGAATAGCCCATTTTTACCTGTAATAAAGGAGTCAGCTGCAAACCTAGTGCTTGCTCATACAATAAATTCAATTCAGCACAGCTGGAAAAAGACAGTTTTGAAGTCTGCAGGTAATAATGAAGGTGTCTAAATGTAAATCCATCTTGGTCAATAAATAACCTTAGATTTTCAGAGTGATCTAGTACAGAGGTTTCTTTCCAGAGCAGAGACTCGGGAAACTGGGCAACTTTACTCTGGGGAATGGAGAAACGCCAGCCACCAACATTAAAATTAATGGTCTCTTCTGCAGATTCACTAATGTCCTCTGGTTCCTTCAAAGGARAAAAGGAAAATCGTATCAACAGGCAAGAACGAACCCCCAAACCTTTAAAAAATGGACAATTTTATTATCCCACCCATTATCCCAATTTTATTTAACACCCACTCAGCTTTGTATTTTTAATTTTCCCTTCTGTGGGAGCATACCTACCTTATTTTTTGGCAAAGTGGTCCAAAATGGATGGTATGGGGCAAATTACCCATTGCATCCCATCCCCATTCATTCAGAGCACYCAAACCCCACATTTAATAGTGTCTAGAGCCACAGGTCATATGAAGTCAAGAAATAAACCTATAAACTTTGTTTTGCATAATATACACCCCCGGTTAATACTTGTGGAGGGGAGGAAAGGGTCAGACGACTCAGAGCTTGTTAAACAAAATACGAAGAACATGTTCTTTAAATACTCAAGGCAAATGGATTCGAAAGCTCCCAAGGTTGGGAATAAAAGGGGACTGACACAGCTGCAAGCTCGTTAGCTTGCGGAATTTTGTTATCAACCGGGAAGAAGAAAATACATGAGGAAAGATGGAAATATATGAAGAAGAAAATAAAATATAAGGCAGATACTGTCCCACACATCTCTGTGTAGCCTCTCAGTATCTCTGAGTAACCACAGGCAGTTAAGCTGAGGTAAAATTCACCTCCAGCAGACCCAGCTGAAGGGCTGTTTTGGGGCAGTTACTAAACCGAGATGCCCGTCAGCCTGTGAGCTTGGAAAATAGACCCAAAAGCCAGTTCAGGCYTAAAAATATTAATAAAAAAAGGGGATGGTCCATCCTAGATGGATGCCAGCCTCAAAACACACAGAGGAGCCGCAGTATTGGCTGTAAAACATGATTCTCGGAAGAAGAAAAACGATGATATGGGACATTTTGAACATAACCGCAGGGAAGCAGGGGGAAAGGATGGGGAAGGTGACCGGGAACCAGGGCACGAACCGAGGACCCGACCGCTACCACCGGCCCCGGCGCTCCCCTCATGGCGACGGAGCCGCCTCGGGGCCGCCTCCTACCATGGCGGCCGCGCCGGGCGGAGCAACGGGCGGAGCGCGGCCGGTAGCGGCGCGGGGCGGCGGCCTCGCGGCGTGGCCGCCCTCGGCGCGGGGCTCCCTGGGCTTCCATGGCCGGGGGAGAAGGCGATTGTGACTTCACGGCTCCTTCCGAGCGGCCCTCGAAGCTGCTCCCGAGCGGGCGGCCGGGCTCGCCATGCGCAGGGAGCAGCCACGAGGACGAGGAGGAGGACAAGGAGGACGAGCGGCGCGGTGACCGCCCCGAGCGCCGGGCGTCGCGTGTCCGAAAAGTACACGGATGATTTCCACAGCGATCCGGGAAGGGCCGGCCTCAACTTGATTTAAATGCATTAAAATGTAGCTCCCCGGAGAGAGCGTTTTGCCACGTCCCGTTTAAATCCACTCTTCCACTTACAAACAGCGTGTTCTCACTGCTTTAAGCGTGGCCCCAAGCTTGGCCTGCTCTTGAGGGGCTTAGTTGCCAAACCATTAACTGTTTTGCCTTGAAGAATAAGAAAAAGCAAAGAAAACCTAGAATGTGACAGCTCATTACCTGGTTCTTCCTAACTAGCAGGCAACATTTGTAGGTTTCTCAAGTGAGGAGTTTTAAACCGGGCTTTATGATTACAAGATACAAAAATAYCCAAATATTTTTATTTTTTCTTGGCGCCTATGAGAAATTTGGCTTCTCTTGGGCTCAAATACTTCTCTTGAACCCAAGAGAAACCTCTGTTCCTCCAAGACACCCGTAAAAATTGTCACTGCTTCCAATAACCACCCTTTTGCTGCAGAAACAAGCCCCAGATAAGTAACATAAGGCGTTTTTAATTCCGTTTCAGCGATGGAGGGCAGCAGTTCTGTGGTGGACAGCAAGCAGTACAACTTCAAGCAAGGCAAACAGGTAACGAAGACCCCCTTGGGCTGCCCTGAGTGGGGATGGTGGGACTGACAGCTCCGAAAAACGATCCATAGTAATTCCCTGGTCTTGAAATTATATATTTGAATTCTTACGCCTTGTGCACATCTGTAGAAACCTTTGTGTAATAAATGGTGTGTAAATATCATCCCTGTCTTCAAGCTTGTAAATACTTCTGTGATGTGAGCGGGTTGGAGCCCACGCGTGAATGTGCAGCTCCTGATTTGGTGACATTTCCATTATTTTTTTTTTTTTCAGAAGGAAGAAGTTTCAGAAAGGCAGCTGGTGAATGACAGTCGCTTGGAAGCAGGTGACTGTTTTGCCCTCATAATGGTGGGAAATTTAATATCCTCTTTATTCCCTCGATGGAATATCAACATGATTTTTCTACACTGATTCCAGCTTTCTCACAACCKACTTAAGTGGCTTGGGCAGTCACTTAAGTATTGGTCTCCTTGCACAACTCAATCTTAGCATCATTGTGGATGGCAGTATGTGGCGCTGGTAATAGTTCCAATTTATTTATCTCGCCTAAAGTTGGAAGGAAAACATAAATCTAACGGCCTGCTTGAGCGGGAAGGTTGGACTAGATGATCTGTAGAGGTCCCTTCCAACCTTAAATATTCTGAAATATTCTGAAATATTCTGAACGGCACTTTAAGGGAATATTTTGCAGTTTTTTAGTTTCATCCTTCATACTTAGAGGTTTTATTTTCTTTCCAGAGCAGAAACACCTATCGTCACCCTCTCAACTGCGTTCATCCTTGCGCTCCCCAGACAAGATAAGATCAGGGCTCACCAAAGGAGGGTACCGGGTGGTTTTCTCAGACAGCAAGATCTTAGACTCCTCCTCAGAGAGGGACACAATACAAAAGGCTGGTATTTATGAGCTTGGCCAGGAAACGTCATCTGCAAAGAGAYTGAATCTGAATGACACAAATACAATTGACTCGTGCAAGCTTCGCAGCRACACAAAGCTGGGCGGCTTGGACAATTTTGAGCACGTCTCCCTGACCTCAACTGCTCAGCACAAAGACTTTGTGAAGAAAATGCAGGCTGACAAAATCTGCACGGGCCACAGAGATTACGGTGGGAAGCTTGCTGAGGAAATGAAGGCATCTCTGCAGAGCTCCAGTGGGGATGCAGCACCACTGCACACCGAGGCAGGGAATAACAGCACAAGTCCCTTCAAAATGAGCTCAGGTATAATAAAATACGAAGACTCTTCTGAACAAATAAATATACTGTATAGTATATTTGCTCTCTGATGTGGGCAGGGGTCCAGTTTGTGGAGTAGACTATCCCTGAATAGCCAGATTGCAAAAACTGGTGAAGAACCAGTGCCCGTTAAGTGAAGAATCTCATTTGAACACATGAATATACATTAAARTTGTAGCCCATATCTGTGATGGAGTGCTAGCTTGGTGCTGAACACTCAAGRTAGCTCTCCTGGGCAGCAAGCTGCTCGTTTTCAGCCTTCTTCAGACACCTGAAGAGATTTAATATTTGTGCRGGTGAACACAGGACTCCTCAAGGACAAGTGTCTATGTCTTGCAGTGTGTAGTTTATGTTACACTCACAACTGTGTAAGCAGAATTTCTTGCAAGTGAAATGAAGCCCATTTTCCTTGAATSTTCCCCTAAGTCAGTACCTGCAAAGAGTTGAGTGTACCTGCAAAAAATTGAGTGTCTGCATTAAACTAAGCTGTCTTTTAACACAATATTTTTMATAAAGGTTTGCAGTTTACCTAGGAAGTACCTGTGCTCTTCTGAACTCTGCCTCAGTGGTCCCCTTGCACCTGATGGTCTTCAATGGCTTTCCCAGCAACAGGCAGTCAAACACAGATGCCTGAAGGTATTAGGGTGACTAATTAATGTTAAAAATTAGCAGGACACTGGTGATTAGATGGGATTAATCCCCTGTATAGCTTTGAAGACTTGTGCCTCAATATTACCATCCTGTCCACCACTTTGCGGCTGCGTCAGTCACTTCAGAGAGGAGAACAAGGATAAAAATTTGGAGAAAATTGATCTGCTTTGCCTTTTTTCTCTTCCTCACAGATCTGCACACCAGCACATACCCCTACCAGAATTATGCTCTGCTAGACAACCATTTTTCTACTTTATCTGCAAGCTTCAATGATCCAACTTCAAAGCTTCACTCCTTACCAGCCGGTGCGTTCCAGGAGAGCTCACAGCCTGTAGCAATGAGAGCCACAATGTTATCCTCAGTGCCTGGCAAGGCCAAAGAAGCTGCAGCCAGYAGGTCCTCAAACTATTCGAGAGAGGACTACAAGCAAAATGAGAGCCTGCATTTACTGATGTCTCCTAAACATTGCTTCAAGGACTCACATAAGGAGGCAAGTGTATTACAGGTTGTCATATTTGCTCTTCAGAYGTGCTTATGTGAAAAATGAGATGTTAATGTAACATCTCCTAGTCAAACAAGCTCTGTAAAGAATACAAAAYAGCCCATTTCTTTTAAAAAGCAATAACTGCAGGCAGACTGGTCTCAGGGAATTCATGCTCTTCTTGGTTATATAAATGAGTCTGAGAGAGAGCAAGAGGTCCCCTAATAAATCTAGGGACACTAGTGACATTGCTAATAAAACACTGTAGAAAATGCCAAGTACCTGACTTCTTTGTGTCCTCCTGGAAAAATGAAAGTATAAACAGCTGATAGATGCATCCAGCCAAGGCAGGAGGTACGTGCAGATGTGCTACAGGCACTAATTAAGCTTTGRCTTTCTCTCATTAGTCTTTTCCCAGTGAGTTGAGTCACCGTCCTGGTGTCACAGAAAGTCACAGTCCCACCAGACCTGAAAAAGCATCCCAGGTTACAGCTGTTCTACAGCAGCTCCTGGAATTAGTAGATCRTCACTGGAATGGATCTGGATCTCTTCTGTTTAACAAGGATTTTCTTGGTAAGTTTTCAGATATATGGAAAAACCTTAGAAACATCTCTCTGCTTTCTTCCAATTTATATTTAAATTTATATTATTCTTCCAATTTATATTTCCATGTATCTGTTAGACCTTAAGGGCCTTGTTCTGCTCTCTTCAGARTGATAATAGCTCCCATTTTGTTCTAGAATATGTCTCTTTTCAAAAATCAGTGTATTAATCTTATTATTTTTTTCATAGGAAAAGCTAATTTTCAATAAAATTCTCTTTAGATATTTTTTCGGAAATTCATAAGTTATTGGAACGAGATGCTTTAGCATTTTCCACCCAGAACTTCCTGATTTGCCTTTGAGAAACAAACTTAGTTCAGATATTTTTGCAATATAAAGATCATATTGAGGTCAAACATTTCTATTTGAACCACACACAAAAAAACCCTTGAACAGATTTTCAGTTTTCATAAAAGGTTTGAGATTCTCTTTTTTTCTCCTTAACTTGCAACCAGGAAAGAATGCAAACAGAAGAGCTTCCAGCTTTGCTCTGGTGCCACTTAATGACCAGGAAAATACAGTCCTTTAATTTATTTAAAAACTATTTCTATCTCTGCAGTTCCAGCCCAAAACCTGCTTTTGCATTTGGTGGCTTGTCCTGCTTCAMCGCATGCTCTTCACCTACCAGCTGGACACAGCTCCTCAACCTTAGCTAGAACTGATTCCAAAGTTCAGAGGACCCAACTGAAATACACTGAGCAGTTTGATAGAACCAGTAYTGCTACGGTAGGTGCTTTTAGCTCTCTGTCCACATGTCTGTGGTTATGCCAAATGAAGACAAGCAGCCGAATGTGAACTTCTTAATAAGGAAGATTTCCTTCTATTAATGAAATTATGGAAAGATGAATCACCTGATTTAATTACAAGGAGCCGTGCTGCCTCCAGTGGGGTTTCTGGCCCTGTATTTTCAATCAACAGACTGGTTCTTCTGCGAAGAATCAAATTAGTGGCACCTTGAAATATGGGTGCTTCATTATAGCCTGGAGCCAGGAGCGAGGGAAGCGTTGGATCCCCAGGAGGTCCCCGGGCTGCCCTATTTTGGACTTTGTAGAAGTTTGCTGAGCCTCAGATCTTGTGGTCTGCAACACTGATCTGCTGATCTGTTCACTGATCTGCTGTTTCACAGCAAGCCTTTTATTTGCCAAATCTCTGAGCAGCTGTAGATGGGGCTTGGGCTTCCCCTTGTTGGGAGATCAACAAGTCAGGAAGCTCAGACTTGTTTTTGCCTTTAGACTGGGGTAGACAAATGAACCAGCGTCTTGCTGACCTTAACAAGCATTTCAAAGCCTTTGCTTCTCATGGTTAGTGGGATCCATGTGCACCTCCTTGCTAATCCTCTTTCTAATGGCTTTGCCAGTAGTGTCCCATGGGATTCTGTCCAAATCTTGTGTCCCTTTCCACTGTAGTTTAGCWGACAGGCTCTGTGCTGCATAGTTAGCTGCCACAGAGAGGAGCTGTTCAGCTAACGATCATCCTCCTCTGGTCTACAGGAAAACAAATAGCAAATACACTCATTTCCTTGGCTCTGCAATCCTGTTTATGCTGATTTTGYCTCACGTCTAAGCCTGAAAAGATCTGGGTCTGTCAACTCCACAGCCAGGCTTCTAGCAACTGGGTTTCCTTGTCATCCTTCTGTTCAGGGCTACATGCCATAGATGCTCAAATTACTACATTTCTCAGATGAAACACATGCTTTTTAGCTGCAGTTTCATGTTCTAATCTGATTTTATTGCAGCCTGCTGTGGWCAGAGATGATCTTGTTCCTCTACCCTGCTTCTACTTGTGTTGCTACTCCCCTGTTCAAGCTGGATCTAAGCATGTCTACAGCGTGCATCAAAACAAATCACCTCTTGACTCAGTGGAAGACTGGTCTTTCCTTCTTTTTTCCCTTTTTTTAAGTGGATCTTGCTCTCTCTAGCACACTCGCTGAAGAAGTGAGATGCCAGTGTTCAATGAGATGCCCTCCCTGACAGAAATTCAAAACCTATGTAGTCCACCTAGAGAAGAGCTCCAAGGTCAACCGGTTGTCATGCAATTCCACGCTGGACTCTTCCTTTCTCTTGCAACTCTGTTTCAGTAGAACTGGATTTATGAGGGTAGAAAGAGTGAGCCATCCAATAGCTAAATGGAGAGGGTTTCTTTTGATTTTGTGCCTCACCTTGTAGTCTGCTGGCAAGGAGCCCAAGGAGAATCAGGACAGCCAAGTGATGTGACTTTCCCAAGCATAAACCTGTGGCCAAGAGGAGAGCTGGATGCTGCTGCTGCTCTCCCCTCTTCTGCCCCACAGCCTCATACTCTTGAGACTAAAATGGGTCATGAACAGAGAGCACTGCAGATGCTGAGGGGATATAGTCTAAAATCTAAAGCTCAAATGTGTTTCCAGTTAAGTGCTAAAAAAAAAAAATCCATAGAAACATTGCTGTTTAGATTTGTTTTCTGACATCATCTGAGCTGTCTGCCAAAATGCCTGAATATCTTTTTGTGTTTTTAATATTACTGTTTGTTTAGGTTACTTTTCATATACCTACGTAGTCATGCTTTGAAAATACTTTTGTTTTTCTTGGGAGTGTGTTTCAAACAAATGCTTCAAAGTGATGACAAAAGAGGGTGCTTAAACAAACAACCACATTACACCCATTTTTATTTATCACTTAAGGCAAGATTCCTAGCAACTTACTGGGCAGAAGTGTAGAAAAGTGTTTCATTTCTCTTAATGACATCATTTTGTTAATTASCTTCATTTTGTTTCTGCATTTATTTTTTGTCTTGTCTCATCACTAATGGGTTATACGATGCAGCAGCCAGTTAAAGGACTGGAGGAGAGCCAAATGCCAGCTTCCAAGTTCCAAGACATGGATCAGACTGCTGCTTCGAATCATCACATCCGAAGAAATCAAGCGCCTACATATGGTAGGGTCACACTGCCTACCTTCAGTTTATCATCAGAATATGTTTTGAAAGTATTTTTCTTTTCTCCTTGCAGGTACACATGTTATTATGAGAGTTGTGAATGGTTAAGAGTGTCCTTGAGGTCTTTTCCCTCTCAGCTGTACAAGCTGTTCTCTTAGAAATGGATTCATTTAGAGCCAGGATTCATTTAGAGCCACCTGGCCTGTGGTAAATCAGGTTAATGGTGGCTTTATTAATCTCCCAATCACTGGCACAAATCAACGGGCTGATGTTAYTGCAGGATCCAGCTTTGCCATCTATGACTCTTCCAAGAGGTTTGATTCATTGTGCAGCAAGAACAAGACCACAAGGATGAGGGAACCCATCTGAGCTGTGACACTGTAGTGGGTGCCTTGACTGACTGTCAAAGGACCAACACATGAATTCCAGTGTATTTTCCAGAGAAATTCCAGATTTTTCCAGTATTTTCTGTCTGTACCTAGCTCTCAGACAGATGAGCTGACAGTAGTCCCAAAGTTAATCTCCATTCACCCGGTGTCAAATGGAGTGTCCCCTACAATGGGAAGAAGTRCTGCAAAATCTGAAAGAGCCTCACAGGTTTCATGGCCAAGCAGATCTCAGCTGCTGCTCTGACCTGGCCATAGCAGAGGCCCTAGATATCAGTGCCCTGGATCCTGCTTCCGACTCAGGAATGTGGTTCTGAGTTGCAGGATGTGTGTTAGTGAGTTATTTTGAGGCTGTGGGTTTTTTTAAGTTAAAATCTCATTTAGAAGTTTCTTTCTGATTTCATGCTACCCATCTCGTTGTGTTTCCTTCAGATGACTTGCTTTGGAAAAATGAGCAGCTGAGTTTCCAAGTAGAATTTCTAAAGCTGGAGTTAAAACAGCTGAACAGACTTCAGGAGACTGTGGCTCTGCTGCAGGACAGCCAGAGGTACGGTACACAGCCTGCCACTGTGTTTATTGCAATACTCACTGCACTGGTACAAAAATTGATGAATTCAAAGCTCTGGCACATGAGCTGGTCCACAGCGAGTGCCTGAGTAGCCTCTTCTCAGCTGCCTCTACCAAGGGAGGTGGTAAGATACCACTGACCTGCAGGAGGAATTGGCTGCTGGAAGTATGTGTTGTAGGGAAAAGATATTTATAAATATTTATGAAATTGAAATTGAATTTTGCAATTGCCTTCTAAAGGAAACAGTGCAGTCCTCCACTGCCCTGTATTTTGCACCTCCTCCCCTGCTCTGCAACATGAGGTTAGTGGTGGGTTAGCCGCTGGTCTGCAGCAGCCCCAGCCTCTCCCCAAGCCTCCTCTGCAGGCCCAGGGTAGGCAGTGTCCTCCTCAGCGCAGCTTGATCTCTACTCGTTAAATATTAATGCTCCTGGCTCAGAAAATGTGCTTCAGTCCTTAATTAATTACAAAAGACATCGCCATTAATCATGTCTGAGAGAGGTAAATGGCACAGAGGCTGCATGGCTGACAAGTCTCGAGTTGGGTCCTTGGAGTGCTGCACCAAGGAGGGCAAAATGATAATACTATTTTGTTTTTAATATTAATGCTGCACCATAAAAACCGTGGACAAAAAGACAAACAATTAGGGGTAAGTGTTTCAGGGCAAATAATAAATGATTGTTATCAAGCACTGCAAGGTTCACACGGCTGGAACTACTACAAATTCTCCAGCCAAGATATTAAAATGCCAGTTTGATGAGTGAGCCTGATGAAACCTTTTAATTCTTTTAAAAGGTATCTCAGGTCAAAATCAGAGACAGGAGATGCCTTTTGCAATCACAGCACCCTCTTGGTTTGCTTCCAGGTGTCTTAACACATGCTGTTAATCTCTAGAGCACGTTTTGAATGGTTACCATCAGGTAACTATCAGGATTTCATTATCTATGAAATCTTAAACTGAAGCACAGCCGTAGTTGTCTTGAAATACAGAACTATAAATACAATTTCAACTTTCAAAATGTGAATTTGAATAAATGGAAGCCAGCATATTACATTTGTAAACATCTTTCCGATCACAGCAGGCTCCCTCTGCTGTAGTCACCACTTCCATCTTGTTTTTGTGCAACAACCTTGCCCAGGTCTTTGCTGTCTACAAACAACTTCCTGATGCAACAGTTGAACAAAGAGAACAGTCCTGCTGTTCACAGAACACCGCTTCCTTCTGAAAGGTGCAGCACTCGTGGGAGATCTCCCCCCCTGGAGAGAGCTGCTCCGGGACCACCGGCGCACAGCCCTGGTCAGTACCGCAGYACAGAGCAGTTATGCAATTGCCCTCTGTAAAGGGAAGCAGACAGACAGTAAGAATGGATTGTGGTCCGTTTTGTATCGACTGAAATGTCATGCATGCATTTAAAGAGGCTGAATCTAATATTTGCTTTTACCACGTTCTTAWCTTCCTACTTCAGCTTTCCCCCAAAGCCCTAATAACATCTGAGTACCAGTGTTCTTGCATTTCTGTCCCATTTATGTTATTAAGAGAAATATGAGGATGAGCATTGTATAATAAAATTCTCTCTGAAACCATGCCATGCTGGGAAGATGAYACAGTTGCTTCGATTCCCTCTAAATTTGAACTGAATCAGGACCCCAGCATGGTGCTGCCAGTTWGTAACCAGAGGTGAAATATTGTAAGCCCTGGGGTGAGACCAGCAGCTCAYGGCACTGACTGTGAGTATTTGAAGCTCTAGTCCCAGATTTAGGTTTTTACTCCTGAGAAAATGGTTGATTCACCAGGACCTGGGCTGCTCTCTGAGTCTTGCTGAATGCAAGACTCTTTAGTTAGTCTTAATGCTCTTAATGCTCTTTAGTGTTTCTGGCCACGTTGGCCATCGGTCTTACAGTAAAAGAGACAGGGATAAAAGAAGGAATTCAATTACAGTSGGATGAGGAGGCTGTTGGCTTGGCTCAGGGCCAAGGATCTGCATGGAAGGAGAGTAGTTGAGAGTAGAAAGATGCTCACTGTGGAAGTGAACCCTGTCCTGTTGTGCCACCATCTGCAGCTCACATTTATGCTCGTGTGTGCGTGCTGTTCTTTTCCTGTGTTCCTCTCCAAGCAAATGTCAATTAGGCCACAAAAGAGCAGGACATTTGGACCAGCAATGTCCATCCATTCATCCGTGTGCTCCTAGGCAGGACAGAAAGGGTAAGTCCTCTATGACTCATATGCTTGAAAAATTACCCCCAGGAAAATTCGCTCCACCAGCTTCCCAGGGAGATCTGCCTGTTCCCTTAGAGTCAGGCAGATATCACCTCCCTGGTCTTGATGTCCTGGTATCRAAAGCCCATCAAATCCCAGTGCCAATTATTGAACTTCTAGGGCATCCAGCTAACAAAGCCCTTCTGCCCTTTGGGAAGATTCTGTAGCGAAACCAGCCTGTGCTTTTCTGTCTCTGCCAGGAGCCCCGTGTGCCCAAGCTTGTGCTTAGCTATTCCCRCTGCCAAGAAGGCCGGGAGCATCCCTGCTCCCAGGGAGGTGAGGGCTGCTGCCCAGCCAACGTGGTCTCCAAGGCTGTTGTGAGGCTCAGGAGAGGTGAGGGGAGCCCGGGATTGGTGTGATGGCTCCTTGCACGCCCTGACACACTCACCCCTTCCCCAAACACTGSTGGCTGAGGACAGCAGGGCAGGATGGCACTTGCACTGGCATCTAGGGAGCAGGATGCTGCCTTGCCCTGGGAATTCTGCCTCCCACAGCTGCACAGGGGCACTGGAGGGAGCAGGGAATCACAGCCCCAAGCACTGAATTTTTTTGAGGAGGAACAGCATTAGCTGCACTCGGGCTGCAGAAGGGCATTTAGGGGCTCAGATCCCCTTCCCCACCAGACACGAGCACTCAGGCTTGCTCAAAGGGAGGATAACCCTCTACACTGGGCACTGTTCCCTAGCCCAGTTTGTGAGCTGAGGTTAATACTGGAACAAAACAGCTGCTTAGAGGGCCTGTTTTTTAAAAAGCAGGTGTGGGAGCTGCACAGCAAGGAACGGGTAAGTCCCAAGAGGGAGACACGTGTGTGTCCTGGGCACAGCCCCTGCCGCTTGGGCCCAGSACAGAGGCTGATGATTTGGCTCCTGTGCTGAGACATCCACAAAATAACTGGAGCTGGGAGCCCAGCCCCTAACAGGAGACACAGCCAGAGACCCGCAGGGCTCTAGTTCAGAGCACCCGTGGCCCAGCCTGGCCACCCCGACAGTGCAGCAACCCCTTCTTCCCACCACCCTGGCTCTTTGCCTGCCCAGGGTGGCCACAGGGAGCACCAGGAGCTCWGCTGCAGCAGCCACGTCCCTCGGTGTCACCGCCACCTCACCCACGTTGCTGGTGGCAGCAAAGCCTGGCTCCGCGCAGCGCCCGCTCCCGGGGCCCGTTACCAGGAACTCGTGTGTTTGGTTGCAAACAGAGCGGCAGCCGGAGCCAGGCGCTCACTGTTTGTGTCCTGCTGGTTGCTCAGGCAACTCGGGGCCGGCCCGGAGCTGCCGGGAGCCGGGAGCCACCGTGCCGGAGCCCCGCGGCACCGCGCTGCTCGTGCCCACCACACAGCCACGCCAACCGCGTCAGGACTAGCAGGGCTTTATTGCAGAGCCATGTTACAGCATGGAGGGCTGCAGGCTCCTTTGGCTTGAGCTTCTCAAAGGCAGCAGGAAGCCACGCGAGGGCGCGGGAGGCCTGTGGCGGYGGCAGAGGAACACGAAGCGTGCGCGGGTCAGCTCTCCTGGGGGTGCATGCAGGGCGCCCCGCGTGATCCCCAGCGGAGCGTGTCCTGGAGGAGCCCTTCAGCCCCAGCACTGAGCCCGGCCTGCGCCCGGTGCCCGCCCCCAGCAGGAGAGCACGGCCAAGCCCGGCAGCCCCATGGCGACGTGGGGAAGAGAAGGCCGTGGTGTTGGTACGGGCAGGAACGCGGGGCCCTGGAGGTCTGTAGGGGAGAAAGGCAGCGACCGCCAGCGGGGCTGGCGGGGAGGGCGCCCTGAGGGCCAAGGCTGAGGTAGGGAAGGCTCCGGAGCCAGCAGGGCACAGGAAGCCCCAGGGAGGAGTGTTGTTAGTACGGCAGGAGCTGCCCCGGTGCAGGGCAGGAGGGGAGAGGGCCCGTTAGTACCAGCAGGAGGGACACGGCTCACAACACAGCACGGATACACGCGGGGCAGAGCACGCGGCCCAGCCACCTTCGAATCACATCAGCGCTGGGCGAGCAGCGGCCCGGCAGCCTGGGGCCGGGCCCAGCRCTGCCCCCCGGGGCCCTCTAGCACAAGGGCACGTCCCAAGGCTGACATGACCGAAGCCCCGGTGTGCGGGGACCGGGGCAGGTGGGTGCCCTGGGCYGCCCTCCCTACTTCTTCACTTTGGCGTCATAGGTGCCCGCGTTCTTGTAGGCGCTGACGTAGCCGCTGGTGTCCACGATGTTCTCCCGGCCGCTCTTGCCCTTGCCCTTGCCGCTCTCGTCGAAGCGCTCCTTGTGCGAGCCCGTGTACTTGGAGGTGTCYGTCAGTCTCTCCACGGCTCCCACGTTCTTGGCTTTCTGCGGCGGCAAGGGGAGCCAAGGGAGTCAGGCAAGGGGGCTCCCCCTGCTCCCCATCCCCTCCTCCCTTGCCCCATGCGGGTCCAAGACCCACAGGGGATCCCTCCATCCCCGCAGCACTCACTGGACCTGTGTAATCCCCTTCTCCAGTGCCCTCCTGGGCATCTGTCCCAACTCCCTCCCACCAGGTTCCACCCAGGGCCACGGGTCTCCCCAGCACAGTGCTGAGCACCACGTACAGCTCCATCCTGCCCTCACCACCAGCCCGGGGAGCGAGGCGCCCTGGCACTCACAGTGACACCCACGTTGACGGGCTCCTTCCCTGCCACCAGCTGGCAGATGGCTTCGTATGCCTCCTCTTTGCTTTTGTCCTTAAATCTCTTGGGAGCCAGCTCCTCCAGGGCCTTCTTGAACTCCTCGTAATTGATGACACGGGCTGTCTTCCCCCTGCAAGCACAGGGGCCAGGCCCTCAGCTCCCGCAAGCTCCTCCTCGGGCTGCACCTCTGCAGCCTCCAAGGAGGCCCTGGCTTTTTCTTTCCCCCAGCAGAGCATTTTGAGCCCCTCATCCACCCCTAAAAGGGAGCTCTCTCCAGGGCACTCTTGGCAGGAGCCTGGCCCGGGACAGCAGGCGCTGAGCTCCGGCAGCGGCTCASCCATCAAGTCCCTGGGTCAAAACCCCACCACTCCAAGCAAGTGCCCTGGGGCCTGTGTGCTGGGAAGAGGGGGGCACCCATTACCACTGCCCCAGCCCTGCATGGGACCCCAAAGCACCCTCTTTCCCCTGGCAGGTTCACAGCTGGTCTAGACAAGTGCAGAAGAACAAGCAGAGCCYCCCTCCCTGCTCCTCCTCTCTTGAACACTGCAGCAGCTGAAGGCATCCTGGTGCTCAGGTCCTCTTGGTTGAGCCAGAGRGGAACAGCACACCTGAGCACAGGGTGCAGAGGAGATGATGGGTGGAGAACCAGCTGCCTCCGCTGGGATCCCTCTCCAGGACCCCCACCCCAAGCCTCAAATCAGGTCACTGAGAGGCACCTGGAGGTGTTCCAGCTGCCACGTCCCTCTGTGTGGCCCATGTGGAGGCCACCTTCCCAGCACAACTGGGGGAACCAGGTGACCCATGGAGCAGCATCAGGTGTCCACAAGAGCCAGAAAGCAGCCCCCAGCACCTTCCTGCTCTGGGACCAAACAGGGAGGTGAAGAGCAAGGGAGCAGAACTCCTCACCCAGGACCAGGTGCAGCCTGCTAGGACCAAGGCTGGGCTGTGCCCCATCCTAAATGTCCACAGGGGCTGCAAGGGTACTAASTAGCAGCCTGACTAGGATGAGCTCTCCCTGGAGACATAAGCTAGGGAAAGGCAAGAGCTGGTGGGCGCGGGGCCCAGCAAGATGGAGAGGGCGGGAATGACTCGGCCAACGCCTAGTGCACTGCAGGCTGCGGCAGATGGGCTGGGCTGTCACATGGGAGAGCCCCAGCTCCCTCCTCCTGCAGCCTCTTCTTGCTCGATGGAAGCACAAAGGCCCAGGAGAGCCAGCCCAGCCCACCGTGATGCCTGGGGGCTGAGGCAGGGACACAGCCTGAGCCTCCCGCCCTCCAAGACTCAAGTTCATTTATTATTGTGTTTTTCAAGCCCGGCATCAGAGAGGCACTCAGCCCTCCAGGCTCCCCTRCTGAGGACAACACAGGAGAGACCATAGCCCATAGCTGTGGGTATCCCYGGCCCCCCAGCAGCCCCGAGAAGCAAAGCCACTTACTTCACCTTGGAGAAGACGATGTCCACGTCGGTGCTGGTGACGCTTTTGCCGTCGCTCACCTTGCAGTCTTTGCAGAGCTTGGCCCAGTTCTTCCCGTTCATTTCTTGCCCCGTGGCCTTGGTGTCGCCGTAGATGGCGAACTTGCGGAAACTCTCCTCCAGAGCGGCCGCCTCGGCGCTCGCGGCCATGGCGCTGCTGCGAGCAGGGGGTGCAGAGGGGCCCGGTGACCACACGCACGGAGAGGGGCAGCAGGAGGGATGCGGCCGTGCACGTCCCTGAGGCCACGCAGGGATGGGATGGAGCAGGGGATGGAGCAAGGGATGGAGCAAGGGATGGCCAGAAGCTGCGGGGTGACAGCAACCCTCGGGCAGCTCCTTGCAGCAGGAATGCACCGCGACCCCTCTCCTGCTCCTCGAGCTGCCCTGGCCCCTCTCCCTGGCCCCGGCCCCCCCGTCCCGCGGTGCCCCCCGTGTCCCCGCGTGTCCCCGCGGCCGCTCTCACCTCCGGGCGCCGCGCACTGAAGCGCGGGGCGCGCCGGGCGCCGCCTGTTTATGGCGGCTCCATGGCGACGTGCGGCGGGGGCGGGACGGGGCC